AGTTTTTGACCCCAGGTGACCCATATTCGAACTTGACCTAGAAATCATCAAAACAAACTTTCAGACCAATTTCCAGGATATTTGGATCAAAACAGTAGCCACTAGAGTGTTAACAAGATTTTTCTATTTTTAGCTCCTGTGACCTAGTTTTTCATCCGAGATGACCCATGTTCGAACTCATCCGAGCAATTACCTAGACAAGCATCCTGACCAAGTTTGATGATAATTGAGTCAAAAATGTGACCACTAGAGTGTTAACAAGGTTTTTCCATATTTGGGCGGTGTGACCTAGTTTTTGACCCCAGGTGACCCATATTCAAACTTGACCTAGAAATCATCAAAACAAACTTTCAGACCAATTTCCAGGATATTTGGATCAAAACAGTAGCCACTAGAGTGTTAACAAGATTTTTCTATTTTTAGCTCCTGTGACCTAGTTTTTCATCCGAGATGACCCATGTTCGAACTCATCCGAGCAATTACCTAGACAAGCATCCTGACCAAGTTTGATGATAATTGAGTCAAAAATGTGACCACTAGAGTGTTAACAAGGTTTTTCTATTTTTAGCTCCTGTGACCTAGTTTTTCATCCGAGATGACCCATGTTCGAACTCAACAGAGCAATTACCTAGACAAGCATCCTGACAAAATTTGATGATGATTGAGGCAAAAATGTGACGGCTAGAGTGTTAAGGAACAAGTATGGACGGTTGACAGACGGACATTCAACGATCCTAATAGCTCACCCTGAGCTAGCTCAGGTGAGCTAAAAACAAATACAGACTTTTAAAGCTGATCATAAAATGTCTAAACACTACCATGCTATCAAATAAATGGACAAGTCTTACTTTAAATTCAAAATTATCCATTGTTACTCTAAAGCAGCATCCCTCCTGATCAGTTTTTCTTAAAAAATTTAGAGTAGACTTAACAAAACACATCAAATACTCTTATAATTAAAGGAATGTATATTCAAAATCCAGGTGAAACTTTAAATGTTTTTTACAAATTCTATTCCTTTTTACCGACGAAAGTTTTACATGCTTACTAACAATGTAAGAAAAATTTCAGCATTCTCAAACAAGTGACAGAACTACTTTAGTGTGGATAGATGGTGCCTAATTAGTCTTATGTTAATCTTTAGGTTTGTATTTTATACATGAAACATCTTTACTCATAAGAACACTGCTAAGATTTAACAAAAATATAAGACTAATATGGAGACATGCTGCTTTAAAAGATGATTAAAATAATGACAAAAAGATTTACAGAAAGTAAAATACTAGTACAAGGAGGTACGTAGAGTTGTTTCATTCAATGCTGGCAATAAATCAGAACTACTAAAGATGAATCTTCAATAAGTAGAGAAAGATTGTTCTCAAGATTGAAATTAAACAACAAAAATTATAAAATAGTCATAACAAATAGGACATGATGGCACTATTTTCATCTGAGTGAAGCTTGGGACTGTCAAGGCAAGTGCGAGGATAGCTGTGACATAAACTGCAACACTAAAAGATCCTGTATGTTGTAATTAAGGTTGTGACCACACTTAAGTGAAATTTTATATATGTTTATAACTATGCTTCTAAAATAATTTTTAAACATCAAAGAATATGTAAAATATGTACTGCAAATAATTTTGCACATTATATGTAATCATTAAAATATATGCATTCATTTCTTACTGAAAAATTTGACTTAGACTATATAGAAAATAAATTTCTAGTTACCTCCCTTTATTAACCCATTACTTCATGAGCATTTTGTGAAAAATGGCTGTTTTCATTGAAAAGTCTCCCGTTACAAGTTCAAATTGCTATAATACTATAAAAACTGTTTCAACACTAATCAAACTTGGCACAAATGTTGACTGGACCATTGCCCTTGCAACAACATGCTCAGGCTTAAATTTTCTGTTACCATGGCAATGAGCAGGCTTTCTACTGCCTCTACCAAAAAAACTAGGGAAAAAGTAGGGCATTTTTTTACCAAAAAGTAGGGCAAAGTAGGGATTTCTGATGTTAAAAAGTAGGGATAAAGTAGGAATTTCTTACTGTTTTATTTAAGAATTAGCAAAACAACCACATCAGGCTGTGTGTATCTTCAGTTCAGTCCATGCTTGAAAGACAGGCACCTCATTGCCAGAATGTTGCTGAATGTTTTGCCAAGGCACCATGAGCAGAGCTGCATCAGTACTAAGGGTGTAGTACTTAAGTACCAGTACCAGTACTTGCCAAGTTTTGCAGTACCATTACCAGTACCAGTACTTGATTTTAGCTTGGTACTGCAGTTCCAGTACTTTTTTGGGGGAAGTAATTAAGTACCAGTACTAATACTTTTATATATTCATCAAAGTTTGAATAAATACACAGTGTCATTCAAAATAATTGCAAACATTATTCAACAAAGAAATAAAATCATTTACTTTAAAGTTGACATTACATTTTTACAACTTAAATGAACGAACATACTTTTTACAAACAATAATTACAACATATATTCATGTCATATGTTATTGTTGAGTAACCATTCAACTGTAATACAATGCAATAATTTTACATTTTAAACCCACCAGTCTTTTTGTTGCCTTTCACACCTTCACACCTCTGTTCAATTTATACCAATGTAAAACTTTTTATGGTGCTAACAATATCACTTGAAATAGGATTATTTAGAATAGAAGTAATTAATTAGTGTTTATTTTGCTCTTTTTTTACTAGTAAATACATTGTAATAAGATTGCAATAAGGATTTTTTACCAGTAAAGAGTTATTGACTTTGTTTATCTCAATTTAATTTTACTTTAAGTCTTTGGTGCTTTTTTATGATGAATACTATGTTAACATTTGAAGGAATATTGCAGCAAATTATTTATAGATTTGATAACTTACTTTTTCACAAAAATAAAATAATACATGGAATTTACAGCTTTACTATATGAGTAAAAATAATGACATTTTTATCAAAACCAAAAATACTGCCTTGTAATGCAGTAGCAGTACTACTTTTTAAAGACAGTACATAATGCAGTACCAGTACCAGTAGTAGCAAAATTTTGTAAGAGTAATTCAGTATCAGTACCAGTACTTGCAAAATCACTGCAGTACATACTGCAGTACCAGTACCAGTAATGCAGCTCTGACCATGAGTCTTTCAAGGATGGACATCACAAGGAGACACACACACACCTGAACTATTAATCAATTGCAACTGAAAATACAACTGAAATACCATTTTAAATATCTTCTTTTTTCATTTCATTTCAAAATGAAAAAGTAGGGATAATAGGGCTATTTCAGAAAAAAGTAGGGCAAAGTAGGGATCAAAAGAAAAAAGTAGGGAAAAGTAGGAAAAGTAGGAAAAGTAGGGACCAGTAGAAAGCCTGCAATGAGGGGACATCTCAAAATTGCCAAAAATCACTATTTTGCGTTGATTTTTTCCATCAAAATTGATTTCAAAGTGCTGCAACTTCTCAATGGATTGAGATAGAGTCAAATGCTTTTCAGCGTTGGTTACACGTTACCTTATGATCAATCTGGGGTCATTTACAGCCTCTCACAAGTCCAAAATTTTCTTGGCGATGAGGGGGACTCCGCCCCCCTTCAAACCCCCTGATGTATCTTTTGGTTGGGGGGCCGCGCCGAAAAAGAGGTCACTTTTTTTAACAACATTTCTCAAACAAAAACAAGTGTTTGGGGCCTAAATAAGGCATGTTTTCATCATTTGAGACAACAAAAAAGGGGGGGGGGGTGAAAAAGGCGTTAAAAGGCGTGTATATGAAGTAATGGGTTAACATGAAATGTAAATTCGGTAATATCTTTTTGGAACTTACAATATTGACAAATCTTCATTTGAGCATCATACTTATGATATAGAACCATAAAAAAATGAGTTACAGGATCTTTAAGTGAAACCATTAACATTCTCTTAGTAAAAAAATACTTCCAGATGATAAAAAATAACAAATACTTAATAAATCATAACAATAATACTTTAATAGCACTTTAATTGATTTCCTAAGTAAAGACTGTAACTAGTTAATCTCAAGCTTTAAACAAGATCATGCATAATTCTATGACAAAATAATGTAGACTATAATATCTTAATAAATATTCGGAAATTAACTTTATAAACAGGTAAAATTCATTAATAAATTATAAATGTGACTTAAAATACATAGCTGCCATCCTGTAGAATGATAACAGTTTGAATTGTTTAGAGACCTAAATATATATTAAGAGGTTTATCATTTCATTTCATAAATATTATCAAGAATACAATAATTAAACTTACTCTATATTAGTATAGGCAACAAAAACAATGTTATACATTGTCCAACAGTAAACATGTAACAAACCTATATAAAGCAGTCTCTCAACAAAGCAACAAAATGCTGACATACAAAACAACAACAAACCCAATGTTACCAAATGTACATAATTCCCAAAACTATCTGAATGAACATTATAAATTCCCAATACTAACGAAATGTACATAATTCCCAAATAATAAGTGAATGTACATAATTCACAATTTTCACTGAATGTACATACTTCCCAATTTTCACTGAATGTACATAATTCACAATTTTCACTGAATGTACATACTTCCCAATTTTCACTGAATGTACATAATTCACAATTTTCACTAAATGTACATACTTTCCAATTTTCACTAAATGTATATTATTCCAAAAACTAACTGAATGTACATAATTCTCAATACTAACTGAACGTACATAATACCAAAAACTAACTTAATGTACAAAACTCCCAAATACTAACAGAATGTACAAAATTCCCAAATACTAACAGAATGTACAAAGTTCCCAAATACTAACAGAATGTACAAAATTCCCAAATACTAACTGTAAAGTTAAAGTGGTTTAATATCTTATTCTGACCCAAATATATCACTTCGATTAATTTCTGTAACTTTGATGACAAATTATTTCCCATTCTATGCTGCTTTTTTTTTGTGATAGGCATCTATAATGCTGTGACATATTAATATCAACACATTGGATAAATAGAGGATATTGAATGAGTGTAGGTTTAGTACTAAATTTATTGAGCAAGTTGAATAAAATCATATTATGCGAGCCTTTGGCAAGCATATTGTTTTATTCAGTGAGTTCAATAAATTTAGAATTGAATCAACATGAATATAATATTCTTTTTATCACATTACATAAAATAAGAATGGTAAACTGTTAAAAAGAGTCATTTTTCATTGATGCGCCTATAGTGTAATGCTAACATTAGTGCGCTTTAACGCTATGTTTATTTATAGCACAAATGATGTCATTTCAAAGTGTTATTAAAGTAGTGTAATATTGTTTTTAACAAATGACTTTATTACACACCAGGGCCGTGGTTTATGTGATAAACCAGTTTTACATCTCCTTCAAAGGAAAATTTTCTGAGGCTTAATGTGCTTTGAAGTCAAAATGACAAAGTCAGACCCCCAAATAAACCATTGTGAAGATTAACACATGTTTAAGACATACATAAATGTAATGCATTAAAAGAATTGAAGTAAAAAATACCATCCCTGTATAACAGCAATGATCAAAATCACAAACAAAAACACCAGGTAGTCTTTTTCTTGACACAGGTACACAAGAACAATGCAGTTATAAAGAATGTAATTGGAAAATAAATATTTTTAATACTGTAACTGTCATTCTCACATTCAAAATGCTGGTAAACTAACCTTGATAAATAACTGTCCAATGTCAGCAATGAAAGAAGATACTGTATTGATATTGACTGAAAAAATTAGAGTATGTTTATAGCTGACATGTGATTTTTAACTTAAAATTAATCATTTAAATAATTAACAAACATTTTCAAGTTTCCTAATACACAAAAATATTTTGAAAAACAATGTGTTTGTTAAATGTTTGAAACTTAAAGTGGTTTATGACATTCATATATAGAGCATTATGCATGTTGGTAATGATAATTTACAGCTGAATAGAAGACATATTTATGTTTGTTCTATTAAAAAGTGAAAGGAATTTTGACTGGAAATATTTTCTTGAGATTTGTGTACCATTTGATGTAGGTTAGGACCAATGTGTTTAAAATTTCATATCATTCAATCACTTCATTTTCCTAGAATAATGATTTTAGTGTCCAACTGACCAAAAAATGAAAAACTTTTGAACGGGCTTAAAATCATGAAAATATTGATTTTCATTTTAATTCCTAGTATTTTTTGCATTTCTCTTTTCTTTAAAGTACACTAGTTGATCTAAGTAAAAGTTTAAACTTTATTACTTTAGACATAAGGACCTCAATGAGTTCTTATGATAAAAAAAATCTTTCTGTAAATAAGCATTCAGTTTTGATCTACCTACCTACCATCAATTTCACACTAGACTTTTTATTATAAACCTTCTCATCATAATTATATTATCTTATTATGTCACTCCCATTTTGTTGAGACCAGAAACAAAGCCTTTTTGGCCTTACATATCAACTTAATTCCTATAGAGTATCAGTTTATCTCAAACTAATAAATATATCTACAAACAATGGTAGCAATTAACTGGGGAAAACACTATAAATAAGTGTTCTACATGAAAAATAAGTGTGTCTTCACTGAAAACATAAACAACAAATCTAAAGATAACTCTCCTGTACAACTTCTTTCCCTTTCTCACTCTTATTTTTGGACTTCTTTTTTTCCTTCTCCTTTTTTTTCACAATGTCCGCATCTTTTACAACAGCCTCTGATACAGACTTCTCTTCACTTTTGTTTTCATTCTGTTCTTTGACCTCTTCTGAGTCCTTTGTCGGTGAATCTCCAGTCTTTGGTTTCTTTATATCTGATAATTCTTTCTGATCTTTCTTTTCTTTATTTGCATTTTCAGAGTCTTCAATCTTCAGTTTCTTTCTTTCTGATAATTCTTTTTGCTCTTTTTCTTCTTTACTTTCATTTTTAACAGAATCTCCAGTCTTTGCTTTCTTTTTCTCAGACGATTCTTTCTGCTCTTTATTTTCATTTTTAGATGAATCTGAAGATTTAGATTTCTTTTTCTCTGGAATTTCTAAAAAGAAAATGGCTATTTAATATATATTTTCAATAAAATTTCTGACTGAAGCAAAATTTGTCCGTTTAAAATATTTTGACTGAAATAAATAAAATCAACAAGAGTACCGCATACAGTATGATAGGGCAAATGTGATCTAACTCCACCATGAAAATTAAGAAGTTGCAATGATTATGAAGCACTATTTCAGCAAACCAGAGGTATATTCATTTAAATTAAGTATCTTTTTCATCATAAAATGTTTGTTTCACTGGGTTTTCATGTCACACCCACACAGTATAGGTCATATGGTGAAGTTCCAGCTTTACTGGTGGAGGAAGTCATTATAAAATAACAACAGGATTACATAACACAAATATTACTTTAGTGGTATTTTCTAAAGTGAAATTACCTTCAATTGGTTTTTCAACTGGGAAATACATTTGAAGATTTTCTTGATAAACACTGACATCTTTAATTAGGAATACACAGAATATTATCTTGTCAATCTGGAAATATAGAAATACAATGAGAGTTAAAGGCATTATTGCATGTCATTAAGGAATAAATTACATCTTAAGTACTGTAGAAAATTAAACCATCTTGTAGAAATAACATGAATATTCACGCCAGATAATAAAAATTCAGTTTTATAGTTTTAAGATAAATTCTTAACTTCCTATTAGTCCGACTGGTATTTGTTCTACTATTATTCATTATCAAGGACTAAATAAATAAGAAGTGCAGAGCACCGGTTCTTGTGCACTGCACTTCTTCTTAATTATTTCTATCATCCTATGATGTTTCAAGTCCATAGCTTTTATACATAAGAAGAAATGGCCCGGACAAAAATGTATGAAAATTAACAAGGGCAATAACTCAAAAATTAAGAAGTGCAGAGTACCGGTTCTTGGGCACTGCACTTCGGGTCATTATAACAAGCATGCATACCAAGTTTGAAGTCAATCCACCTTATAATGACTGACTTATGCTCTGGACAAGCTTAAGAAGACGCCGACAACGACGCCAACAAAAGTAACCCCTATATGTCGCCTTTTTCAAGGCGACACAAAAACGTGCTACATGAAAATATTAATTTTCATCATTTCATTCCAAAACACAATTAATATTTAATATAAAAGAAAAAGAATCAAACAACAGCTGTCATCAAAGACCAGTATATTAAGCTTGAGGGTAACAGCGGTAACAAGTGTTGCTTTATTTTTCAAGATCTTTGGGATCACTGTTTCTAATACTTTATTGCCTTGAATATTGAATACTGCTTCAATGGGCTGATATAATCCAGAAGCACAACAAACCTTGGTTAATAAGCTCTCTCTCTTTATATATATATAGAATATGTATGTTACCGTAGCAACTTAAAGACAATAACAAAGCAATTGTTATATTTTAGGATGACTCACACTTTTGCCATTATCTTCTGTAAGAAGCCAGTTTCTAACTGTTTCCATCACTACTGGTGTAGCTTTCTCTACATCATATCCTGAAAAAAAGAACACAATATATTGACACTTATTTATCTAATTCTCATCAGTAAGTAATAACAAACTTGATAAGAATCTTGATAACACAGCATCCTCCCTTTACAATTGCTCATTTTAAACCTTTGGTTCTGATGAGCTAAAAATGACTGAATTGGTATGATTAAACAAGGAAGTAGGTTAAAATGACTACTTTAACAATAATCTTAAATATTCAACTACCTTGTTAATAAATTATGAGGATTCTTTTACTCCTTAAGTTGTCATTGTTACATAAAACCACACAGATTCAAGTTGCAATAACTTGTTCTCAGCTTAATACTTTCATTCAAACAAACAAATCTTTAAATGAAAATACATGCAACTGCTGAACTCTACTTACCATAAATTCCAGTAGAAATACACGGAAATGCCTGAAAATACATAAAATATGGTACATTGAAATGTGAGTTACATTCTTGATAGTTTCCAAAATTAACTTTAAACATTTTTTGAAAATCAGTCATACATTCTATAAATATAAAGACAATTCTTCTGGCAATTGATTTAGTAGTGTTGTATAACAGGATGACGACTCTTAAACCAGTAATTTTCCTCCACAAATAGTTACAATGATTTTATAGAAGTTACCTTCATCAGATAGTCATAGCAATTGTGAAACAAGGATAATTTTTAATAATATTTTTCAACTTCATCAAATAGATACGACATGCCACTTTAGGTCAGTGTTTATCTAGGATTCGAAAAACAGGGGGGATTTTGTATCGAAAAGTGAGAATTTATTACATTTGCTGATCTTTTTCCTTCTTTGTCTATGTAAAATTTCCCCCCTTCCTCTCAAAAAATAGGGGTGAATTCTCAAAAATATGGGTGAATCCTCCTAGAATAGACACTGTTTATGTTTTTCACAAGAAAAAATGGTCAAGTTTGTAATAAGCATAAAATTTTCATGTTAAAAAGTTGCATGACTGAAGAATAAAATCAAGTATATAACCCAAACTTACGATAGAACGAAGATTATTTTTCTTTGCAAGGTCAAGACAGGTCTTGTAACAACTGGCAAGGGCATCAGGCTTTTCTCCTATAGGACCAACTGTATGTAAAATGTCTGAAAAATACATATATACAATACACATAATACAAGGCAATGCAAGCAAACATACAATATTTATAATTCCCTTCTTGTTGTCTTCTTGGTTTGGTTTTTATGCCAATTTTAACATATTTACGCTCACATCTTGTCAGTCAATCCACCTAACCAGTTCTCCTTGATAACTAACCAGTAATTAGCAGTTTCTCCACAAGTGGACAACTAACCCACATGATATATGTACTATTTTTTGAATGACCAGTGGTCAGAAATCATTAGAACACCATTGAATATATCATTGAATATATATAAGTATGAAAGCATATGTTAACATGTCAAAGCATTCTATTAAACTTGGACCAAAGAGACAAGTTTACACTAAAGTTAAACCCATGTGACTAGAGAGAATGAGAGAGCATATCTTCTTGCATCTCAGACAGGATTATCTACCGTTTACACCAGTGCTGGAAAACTCTGTCCTACACCCCCATGTAAGACAAGTCGCGTGCATCAAATGACGTCATATCTAGCTCTTGGGTAACTGTTAAACGGAAACTCGGCAGAGCCTCCTTACCGCCGTAAACAGTTACCCTTGAGCTAGATATTCCGGTCTGTACCTGCAGCCGGTGTAAGATTCTTATAATATTACACAACAGTATCTGAATCAGCATCGAGAGACAAATGACCATAAGACTCATTGTCTGAGATCAACTGTCACAGAGAAATTACCTCTCTCTAACCAGGAAGCCCTGGATTGAAAATCTTTTCTCTCCATATTGAGCTTACAAAGGTTTACATGGTTTAAATTTGGGTTAAAGTAATCAGAACTATCTAAATTATGAAATTAAAATTTAATATTGTTTTGTTTCATTCTTTTTTTATTGTAAAATCAAGTTTGTATGTGTCATACACATACACAGATACAGTACGTATTGTCAACTTCTAAATATGTATTTTTATATTGACATATATAATAATAATACTTACATCTAGCAGGTAACTTGTAACCTGAAATCAGAGAAATAGTCTTTAATCTACTAGTACATGTATATTGTGACCTGAATAACAGTCTGTAATTATTTACATCATTTTAATCACTTTTATAAAATTACACCTTCAGACAGTGAGAAATACCCACAGATAATAAATTCAGTTTGCAATTTGGCATATATCTTATCTTACTTTACCTTGAAGAAGAGACTAACATTTATACCTCCTGTTAATTTAGCACTACCGGTATCGCATCCATTAAGTTTGACACACTCCTCATACAATTTCTTCCCCGCTGCCCTGTGTATAGCACCATCCACTGAAATATAACAACAAACAATTATAAACACAGTCATAATAGATAAAAACAAGAGCAGTCCAGTAAGACAATACAATTGACTATTCTCAGTGCGCAACACTAAGAAAAGGGGTATAACTCTGTAAAGAGTTATTCAGAGTTATGAGTTATGCCCATCATGTAAGATTATCACAGAGAACAAGTATGGGAAGTAAATTGAACCCATTCCCATCAGTACTTTTGGAGGTGCTAACTTGCACGCACAAACTAAACCATTTAACAACACTTAAGAACTACTTGTCACTCTATTATGACAGACAAATATTATAAACTACTCAGCTTGCTTTTTACTGTTGAAATTTTAAGTACAAAAATGTAGTGGTAATAGAGATAATCATTTATATAATGTAAATCATAAAATGTAAATTTCATTAAAGGAGTCAAACAATATTAAATTGCAATTAAGAGTTGTAAATCTGGGTCATCTGAGAAAATCTGGAATAATTCAAAGTGATTTCCTTCAACTATGTCTGGTACTTGCATAAAATTCAGTTCATGTAAAATGTTAAATAAGTTTATAATCATTATACAGAATGAATATTAGGCCTCTTTTCCTCTTTTTTCGGGACATTGCGAATTTGGGAAATTTAGGTCGTAAAATTTTCTAACTTTGGAAAAAAAGTTATTCAGAAATTTACTAGTTTGGGAAAATATGCCAGAATTCAATATGTTAAATTTCTTTAAATAAAGCTAAATAAATCTTATTTTAGCTTCCAGAACACTATTAAGCAACACCAAATCGAAATACAAAAATGTGGTACCTTTTTTTCTAAGGACCATTGAAATTGGGAATATTTTTTGGGGGTGATTGGTAAATAAGAACAAAATTTAGCATGGGAAGGGGAACCTGTGGAAAAGGGGAAAAAAGACCTGAATATATACAATGCTGTAACAAAACAATAAACACTCACCTCCTCCACCTCCCAGTAAACTACCATTAGCAGCGTTACATATAACATCAATCTCTAGACACGTAATATCTCCACGCCACAATGATATCTTCATGTTTAACTCTTCGTCTACATCAAATGATGAGCTCACTCGATCTATATCATTAGAAAACTACACTTAAATATTATAGAATCTTAATATGGCCTTTCATATTACATGTCCTTTATTTCAAAATCATCCAAGACAAAAATCAAACAGAAAAGTTAGTCCTTTATTTCAAAATCATCCAAAACAAAAATCGAACAGAAAAGTTAAAATTAAAGACCAATACATTGTAAATAAAGAGAAAGAAATATTCCCCGAATCCAATATTTAAAGCAGAATGCCTCCATGTTTACGCCATTTTTCATGAAAATTTTGAAAATGTATTTAAAAGTAAAATATTGTCAGGTGAACAAAGAAAGTAATTTACACATTGTAAACAGCACTTAAAGTTTGTGTCATTTACCAAAAAAGAGGTCAAAATATACAAAACCTAGCTGTTACTTTATAAGTCACTCAATAGAAATATAAGGATAGATAATCCAAAATTGGTCTTTATCACACTTAACAAGTAAATTGTTACTTGAATATTTAATCTTTTTACTTTTCTTACAAATTAGATCTTCGTACATGTAAACTTTTCTGAAGATTGAATTTCTTGAAATATTTTGGCTCATCTGGAGGTATGCAGCTTTTAATGTAACATTGAATAAATTAGACTCTGCTTGCCTTTTGTTTTCAGTTTTGAAGCATAACTTGACCATGACTCTATCTCATCAAGTAGAACATATTTCTTCCCACAACTATACTCTTTCCTCTTCTCGTCTAATGGAAGCTTCAAATAATGCTCTGAAATAAATTATTAATTTTTGTCCTGAGTACATTCTGTTAAAAAATTAAAAGTATACTAGTACTTGTAGGAGATAACCTTGATATTTTACCACAGTTTCTTTGCAATATCTTACCAGTGATAATCTTCTTTTACAAGTACAATGTATTAACAAGCCATGTAACATTCTCTCAACTAAAATATCATTTAGGAAAATGGATATCTCTATAAGGCCTTGAAGGCTGAATAGAGTACCAAATCATATGAGCCGCGTCACGACAAAACCAACATAGTGTGTTTGCTACCAGCATGGATCCAGACCAGCCTGCGCATACGCGCAGTCTGATCAGGATTCATGCAGTTCGCTTACAAACCCTATTACAAGTAGAGAAACTGAGAGCGAACAGCATGGATCCTGACCAGACTAAACAAGAACATGTGTTTGGAAAACACAAAATTTTTCGCCCTGTGCCTTGCAGAGTAGTTACCAATTGGTACAGATAAAACTTAAGACATATCCAACTTGACAGATTAACTATAAAAAAAATCTATTTTCAGTATTAAAAAAGAAAATTACAGAGGGAATATAGGTGCCAAAGTCATGTAATTTGCCAAGAGCATGTACTTTATATTGATGTACATGTATAGATAAAACTTATATTCAAGTTACAGTATTAGGGTATGCCATACATATTTCAAAATACTAAGAAGGGAAATAACTGGGAAAATAGAAGCACCTGTGACCATTTATTTAACTTGCCATTATCATGAATTTTGCATTGGTAAGTACACTGTAAGTAAAGTGTGTCAATTTTGAAGCCATCATTACAGCTCATGTATTTCCAACTTGCCCTTTAAGTAAACCTTGATTATACAGATTGTTCAATTACTCTAAATATACTCAGTGGCAAAAAAAAATACAATAATTTATCTAAGTATCAATTTATCTCAAATTAATGTCAAACCCCTTGAGGAGACAACAGGACGTTAAAGAAAATGGTCTTTGTTCAGGACAATGCTTATTAACTGCCTCATGATACTTTCATAAAAGGAATGTTTTGAAGAATTATTTAGACTAAATATTTAACTTAAACACTGTAAAAGTTTAGATAAGTCAAAAACAGCATTGTGATTGATTGTTGGAAAAAAGTTTAACAATCAAAAGTTAAAAGCATATGTAAATGGGTCATTACTATTTATACAGTACAAAAATCAATATTTATCAGTTATCACACAGCAAAAGGGAAAAAATTGATAAACATAGCCACACAAATTAAAAATGTCATGTTAGGTCCAAATGGTTAATAAAACTACTGGATTTTATGTGTAAAAAGCATTTGTGTGAATAAGATTATGCCATATTTTGTATGAAATTAATGCGGAAAACACCTGCAATACCACAGAAATTACTCATGTACGCACTATTTGTAATATTTGTATAATTCTTGTAAAAAGTACCTCCAAGTATAAAGTAACTTGAGGATAGATCAACCATCAGCGACAGGGTTATATATATTATGTTTCAAAACAAACAGACAATGTGATCTTATAAAAACTATAGTCGGTAGAGCCGCGGAACGGTATTCCGAGGGTCCCGGGTTCGAGTCCCGGTCAGGCTGCACGTTTTTCTCACCCTGTGACATTTGGCGCCCAACTTGGGCCGTGATGGTATAAGCCCCGAGTTCAATTTCACATTGTTCTCTTTCCCCATTAGAAATTTGAGGACGAATTTCAATATAGCGGGGGAGTATGTCACAGTTCAGAACTGACTTCACTATTTAGGGGAGAAGATGTGTAAGCTGCCGGAAAGCTCAGTCGGTAGAGCCGCGGTACGGTATTCCGAGAGTCCCGGGTTCGAGTCCCGGTCAGGCTGCACATTTTTCTCTCCCTGTGAAATATATATTAAAATTAGTATCAAAATTAAAGTTTCTAATAAAATTCAATAAGCACATTTTCGGTTAATGTTTTGGTAAGGTTATGGAAACATTTCCTCTACATTTTTCAAAACGGGAATAAAGTTTGTTAATCAAACAATTTTAAGTCCCAGATTTACATAAAAAATGTTTATATCATTTGATTGGAATAAACAGTATATAATGCTGTATGCGTCCAACCACAATATTTGTTAAATATGTGCCATTTGCGCCAAAATATCTCCGTTGCATTATTTAGTCATACCGGTTCAAAAGTTTAAAATGCAGCAAAATTTCGGTACACAGTTCACTCGGTCATATAATAGTGCATGGTGATATTGAAGCTATAATGTTCACTGTTACTATTTATCGGAACATGAAACAGTAAAACGCTATTCAGAAAACAATACGATCGTAATCGATTTATACAATTTAAAAGATTAAAACGGAATGAAACATCCACGTAGCGCTTAGTATCGTAAATGATATTTTCCGATTTTTCTATGTACCGATTTGTTCACTTCGATGTTAAATTTCCGTTTAAGTTAAGTCGTATTTTGAAACGGAGCAATGCGCAAAACAATTTTTGTAGACTGCTCCTAATGATTTTAGGCTTAAGCCTTTAAATGAGATTCGTTCACTACAATCAGATACGCAAAAATGGTCTGATGACCTCTCCAATAAAAAGAAAGTGAAAATACATTTTAAAATATATAGATATACACATGTATATTCATTAATTATAGTGTATACCTTTCCAATTGCGCTCTGCTTCACTTGCTACACTTCTTGTGATTTTCTTTTCTTTGCTTTCATTATTAAACAGAGATTTCTTTGCATTCTTGTCTTTCTCTGCAGTTTTTAATGCAGAGCTCATTTTCACGTGCAATATGAATGTTGTAGTGGTTAACAGTGAAGCTATTGAAAACTGGGAAATGACACTCGCACCTACTTTACCTTTATTACATGAATATAAAAGCTTAGAAGCAGAATTGATAAAACCAATACGTAACATTTAGATTTCGATTTCGATTTGTCTTCCTTGCCAAAGAAATTGTGGGCACATTCGATACGTCATGTTTAATGGATTCAGTATTCAGCTCACACGATTATCTTTATGCAGGGGCGTAGCTAGGGCTTGAAAAAATATACGCAAAGCGAGGCACGAAGTGCCGAGAGGGGGAGCGTGCTGGTAGGGGTACGGGGGGTCTCCCCCGGAAAATTTTGAAAAATTATATGTTAAATCGTGGGCTCTGGCATGTCTTGAAGCACCTTTTGCACGTAAAGCATGAAGCATTTTCAAGTCATTTTTTCCCCATAAATTGATTAACATATAGCTGCTCGTTTTACTTTCTAACTTATTTCATTATAACTTCGTACAGATTTGTAAAGAAAAGGCAGTGTACGCCTTGTAGTTTTCTTATTTTACACGTGCATATAAACATACACAAACATTTTTCGATGTGAAGTTTAATTAAGGATGCAGATCATGAAATTGGTTTATGTATGAATGCCCGTTCAAATGTAAAACGCATTTATCAGATAACAAGTTTTTTTAAGCATTTCTCGTCAAATCAGTTTGGTAAGAACGGTTTTTCTCTTAAGCCTTCAGTCTTATTTATCCAAGTGTATGTATTATTTCCAAATGCACAAGAAAAATTATACTCTGAGAACAATTCTATTCCATCGTAAGAAAGTAGGGAAATTACCAGATACAACGAGATATTAAATGGTCTAATGATCACTCTATAGGTCTCCTCAGGCGGTGATGAGAAAGTAACGGACTTACTCATAGATATATTTTGTTGCCCACAAAAAATGTGGCCGGCTCTTGTGATGGAATTCATGTGTTCTTTTGAGTTTGTGTGCCGATTAACGACTTTTCTTGCGTTGCTCCAGTCAATCAACGGACGAGCAACAACCACATTTTCAGCCGCATTAAAGGCGAAACATGGAGCACAAAATACCCCATCAAATAAATGATGTACCTTAAGTAGATGGGTGCTTTTTTCGAGTTCTCTGAGAGGTGCAACCCAACCTGTATGTGGCTCGAACCGTTCGGTGAGGACTACATTTTCTTAGAATCTGGCATTCTTAGTCGGCTTCTGATATTAATACTTCCGATATCCAGGAATCGTGCTCCCAGGGAGCTTCTAGAGGTTGTCGAGGGGAGAAGAAGCAGGGGGAGACAAAAAGGTGAAGGTGGGCGGAGAAGAAGGGGGAGAAGGAGGCGCGATATAGTTGTCTGATTTGCTGATCACAGGAGGGTCACATGCCAGGTCTTGTGAATTCTGTTTAGTTTCTACCTGGTCAGATTCATTATCGACTTGAATGGGGTCCTGTTTTAGGACCATAAAAAGGGTCGCTTGTCCTGGAATTTGGCCTCTGTTTCTTTTCATTTTGACAACTAATTACACAACAAAAATTAAATTTTGCCCCGAGTTGATGATTCTTAAAATCTTGATCTAGAACTTAAAAGATTTAAAGTCGTTTTAAAATAGAGCTATTCCAAAGGAAACGATTTAGAAAGGATTGGTCTAAATCTTTAAGAAAAGTCTTAATAATCTTTATTTTCTGAGAATTTAACCAACGATAAGTTATTATGAGCCTAGTTTGTAGATAAATTAATGCTGAGCTTTTCATTTATCCCTCGGCAATAAGTTTGTAAATGCTTCGAGTTAACAAAAAAATTTAAATTTCTATTGCACATATATAACGATAATTAATAGAAACGTCATACGATAGAGTGACGCAATCATAGTTTACACTTTGTAGTAAACAGTATGACGCCTGAAAAGGAGATCTAAATCTATTGCGATGAAACCATTAAAACTTAGATTTTCTCAACTTTATTTTTTTACCTTCGGAATTTTTTATACGCAATTGCGTATTGTGCGTAATGGAAGCTACGCCCTTGTTTATGTCAAGGACAATTATTGCTTATTGTAGTTTTTTATTGCTATTCCTGTTGATTCTATTTTTAATAATATAAAATTCTTCATTTTATTATGTAAAGAATTTTCTAGGCAACACGGAAACTGTAAAAAAAATATTTTTTTAATAAATCGTAGTTTCTTATCGAAGCAAGCCTTTCTTACTCTTCAAAAAGGAGGTATAACCGGTGAAGAAGTAAAAGTTCGTGGCAGAAAAAAAAAAACAAAAAAAGGGAAAAAAAGTAGTAAGATAATTGCCGATAAGTCAGTTGGCAGTTGTTTAAAAAAGAATGAAATGGACAAAAGAGTTGTTAAGCGAGGGGGGCGCCCAAATCGTGGTGGCGGACGCAATAATCGTGGTAACCGGGGGCGGGGAAGAGGTCGTGGTTTCACACAACCTGAGCCCCCTAAGCCCAAATTAGGAGGGTCATCAGGAGCAAGTGGCAGGAAAGGTGGAGCTAACTTGTATGATGATGACGATATATATGATGCTTATGATGATGATGATGGGGAGTCATATGATTTTCATGAAGGGAGGTCTAATCAGCAATATACACGACAAGAACCAGAGATTAGGCGAGATAGTTCACGCGGTTCAAGAAGTAGAGGGTATTGCTTTGGTTTTAGCTCTTTACCATTCACCAGTTATGACTTATAGTGGTAGTATAGCAAATAGCAGGGAAATGGGCCTTGTTTTTACATTTGCATCCAGGTCAATTCATTTTTTCAATTATGCTTATTGGCGAATTACAGTCAACCCGGCCCCAAGTTAACCCGGCCCCAAGTCAACCCGGCCTCAAAATTGGTCAACCCGGCCCAAAATTTGGTCAATCCGGCCCCACAGTATTTTTATTTGGTCAATGCTGCCCCAAAATTGGTCAGTGAGGCCCCAAAATTGGTCATTCCGGCCCCAAAATATATTTTTTTCAAAGAACACCATTTAAGTCATTTTGTTGTATGATGATACCTGTGATGGATGGCAGCATCGCAAGTGTAAAACAGGTAAGTCTGCATTTATTTATTTAGTATCTATTATGTATATTACAGGCTCATTTATAATTAATTTCAAAAGCATAATTGATCAATGTTGTTCGTGAAACAGAAATGATCCGATTTATTTTCTATGATAAAACTACAAAATATAACAAATCACAGGTTCATTCTGTGACAAATTACAACAAAAAAGGTGAATACTATAAAACTCAATAATCTCTGGATAGTTTTTCGAGATTTATGTACAGTCTTAGAAAAATGTAAAATTGCCCCCTTTCTGAAATGCAAAATATATAAATCTTGACTTAACAATTTATTTCAACATTAGGTATATATCTCATATCTAATATTGTTAATTCCTAAGTCTCATGAAGATATGTTGTTAATAACTTCTCTGAAAACATTTTGTATGTAATAATGGCTATATGTAGTTTAATGCCAAATAAAATATTGAATTGAATTAATCTTGATTTAATATGTATAACAATGTGTATTGTCATTCAATAAATAAATAATTAATAAATTTATTGTTGTGGACAAATCTATTGACACGTGCAAATCGTTACCCACCTGTGGGGCCAGCGATAATTGCATTATCGCACTTATCAAAACTTTCACACAATTAAAGACATACGTTATCTAAATTGATATATATACAATCAAGTATAAATAATATTCCAGATACCGTCCATTGCTTTGCGAGAATATTATCAAGTAGAAATGAAATTACTCTTTCTACTTTTAGTAAATTTACCAGCATTACTATTTTTCTTTTTATTCTTTTTTTCTAAATGAACGTGTTAACTTATCATATGACAACACTTAGATATTGTGCATACATTTATAATAGCTACCGTCAAAAAACTTTACCTTTGTAATAAATCCATGTAAATACTAAACAAACATATAAATGACATTCTTTTTCGTTGTAAAATTATATGTATTAAGTCCATGATTTTCATAGAAAATATATATTTGCTTGTTTGTTAATGTTGATAGTTTTCATATAAAATAAATAATAAAAGATATCATCGTTGAACTTTTTTTGTTGTTAATTTTTATTTTATTTCCTGATAAGTGTTTACATTTTCATGCAAAATAAATAATAAAAAAATGGGGCCGGGTTGACCAGAAATAACATTGGTTTGGGGCCGGGTTGACCAATTTGGGGTCGGGTTGACTTGGGGCCAGGTTGAATTGGGGCCGGGTTGACTTGTACCGCTTATTGGCATATCAGGCCTCGGTGAATGTATTTAGGGCTACTCGCTGAAGGACCCTCCAAATTTACTTGTCCTTCATAAAATGCACTCGCCCTGCATTTTGACGAACAAAATTTGTAAAAATCAAACACAAAGCTCAAATTTACTAATTGCTGGTCTATATCAGTATAATTGGCTTTATTCAATTTACATTTTGTTCAATAATGTTTATTATGCTTTTATTATATGATCTTCAACATAGCCTGAATACTTATTCCATTCAAATTTTAACACACTTGGCTAAAATATCTACCTCATGGCTAAGTATAAAAATGCTGCTGTCTTACAGAATTGATTCATCATACACATTCGGTAAATTTTTATACTTAGTCATAAGGTCAGTTTCCGGTTTTCTGTTGACAGTCATAATGTCAGTTTCCGGTTTTCTGTTGGCAGTGTAACGATTAAAATGGCGTTTGCTATTTGATTTTTTTAATGAATATTTTCATTTGCCTGACCCGAACTTTTACTAGGAAATGCTAGCTGACGAGTAGATTTGTCGAGGCCTGCATATATAGAGGTTGAACCGCCTGTCTCTCCTTCGATACAAAGTTAACTTAAACTGAAGCAAGTTTGATACATTTTAAGTTTCGACTGTATCTTGCTGCATGATTTATACACTAACAAATTGAAGGGTGTGTCCGTAGCTCAGTGGTCTAGGTCTTTGACTTATAAACCACTTGCCCTCCACTGCTGTGAGTTCAAAACCCGCTAGGGACTTTGGACTCTTTCTTGTGAGGAAGCTCCCCAGCTAGCATACTGAACATCAAAGTTTATACTTTGGTGGCAGTTTGTACAGGTCTGACATAATGTAAGTAGAGACACTTGATGTCTTGACGTTTTCAAAGAATTGTCATCATACTTGGACACAACAATTCTTTGCCGTTTGGACAAGACCTTCAAGCAGACCAAATTAAGTGTGAAGTTCACTCATCAATGACCTTGACCTTAAAGTTCAAATTATTGAAGTTTGCTTGATTTTGCTATAATTGACTATAACTTTGTTATTTAGAATAGAATGTCATTATACTTGAGCATTATTACCTTAAGGACAATGTCTCAAAGGAGATCAAACACAATTCAATCTTGACTCATAAATGACCTTGATGTTGAAGGTCATATTATTGTAATTTCACAGTTTTTTTGCAATATATAATTGGCTATGGATTTGTAACTAATCTTCATACTTGGGCATGAAAATCCTTAGGACAAGACATTATACTTATAGAAGGTTTTATTGAACTTGACCTTAATTTGACCTTGACATTAAAGGTCAAATAAATGAAAGTGGAGTGTGGCCTGGATAGGGGGTCTCTCCTTTTAAATTACATCAAACAGCAATGATTTTGCCAATTTTTTTTCTGAAAAGAACAAGAGAGTGTGACTCTGACAAGTTAAAGTAATTACTAGAGCAATCAGTCTTTCCACAACTGAGTGAAAGTGCTAAAATGTTTTGGAGGAAAGGTCACAGCTTTGTCAAGTAAGGTATATATTAATATTTTTCAGCAGTTTTTCTTAACTGGAAGGGCTTAACCTTTTTGGACAAATTGTTTGCTGACAAGAATCTAGGTATGGACATTATGTGTTCACCAAACATGTTCATGATTTTGAATAAAATAGTCCATGGTTTACTGGGATATCATTTATTACCTAGTTCTCATTAAGTAGATAGGGCTTTTATCATGAATGACTGTATTCAGTTTATCAAAAGCTGTTATTCACCCTGGATGAACAAGTTTTGTCACGTGACCACAAATGCAAACACCGATTTAACATTTCAGCAAATATTTGCAGATATCTGTTGTTCCACTGCGAGCACAAAAATAAGACATAGACCTTAGGACCCGGCGTAAATTAAGCTTTTATATTATGTGAGTAGTCTTTACTAGACTTTAGTAGTTTTTTAGAACACTTCGACACAAATGTTTTTTTCGCAAAGCAAACGCCGATAGTTTTTACTTTTTCCTATCATTTTTTTTCACTGGAAATACATGTTGAGGTAAAATAATAGAGGATATGTCTTTTTACATGCCATTCCCGTCCCTAACTCATTTACAATTCCATTAGCAAAGTTATATTTGACGTAATCCCATGTCATTCCCCGTATTGTCTAATTTGCAAACGTCGTTTGAACATGTAAAATATGCAAACGCCGGTTGAACATATTAGATATATAATATTTCTTGCATCTCAGACAGGATTTTCTTGCATCTCAGACAGGATTATCTACCGTTTACACCGGTGCTGGAAAACTCTGTCTTACATCCCCATGTAAGACAAGTCGCGTGCTTTAAATTACGTCATTGATGCGCGCCTTTTATGAATGAATCGCGTTCTTAAAATGACGTCATTTTTCCGTTATGAATGAAGTTGTATGTTCATACGCTACTATAAGAAAAAAGTGCGTAATGAGAATATCAGTTTTCATAATTTCTGTTCCGAAAAAAATTGACATGTAACATGCAAGAAAAAGAATCAAACACCGGCTGTCAGTACAGACGGGAATATCTAGCTCTCTGGTAACTGTTTAGCAGAAACTCGACAGAGCCTCGTTACCGCTGTAAACAGTTACTCTCGAGCTAGATATTCCAGTCTGTACCGGCAGCCGGTGTAAGATTCTTATATTCTTGCATCTCAGACAGGATTATCTACCGTTTACACCGGTGCTAGAAAACTCTGTCTTACACCCCCCATGTAAGACAAGACGCGTGCTTTAAATGACGTCATTGACACGCGCCTTTAATGAATGAATCGCGTTCTTAGGATGACGTCATTTTTCCTTTATGAATGAAGTTGTATGTTCATACGCTACTATAAGAAAAAAGTGCGATATATATACATCAGTTTTCATAATTTCTGTTCCGAAAATATTTGACATGTAATATGCAAGAAAAAGAATCAAACACCGGCTGTTGGTACAGACGGGAATATCTAGCTCTCAGGTAACTATTAAGCGGAAACTCGACAGATATTCCGGTCTGTACCGGCAGCCGGTGTAAGATTCTTATAAACCGGTGGTTATTTAAGTCAAGTTGCAAATATTACAATTCTCTGAACAAAAGACTTCTCTCTTTTCTCCTTTTTTATTTTAAAACATTCTTCTTCTTGAATAACAAACTTTTATAAAACTTCTGTATATCCCATATATACATGTACATGTATACATAAAACCATATAATCTTCTCAAAAATCAATTCCACACAAAATCCGTCGGGAATAAACTGTGATTTAAAAATGTAGAAAAAAAATCCATCTTCTTAGGTTGAACTATACAGCGACGTTGAACTACACAGTGAGATCACTTGGAGTTACTTGTTTCAAATAAAATTTAACGAAGGTGTTTTCTTTTGACCAATCTGCAGCGTTGAGAATTTGGACCTAAAGCTCTTGTAGAATGTGCTGTTTCGTTTTTATGTTTATCTTCATAAGCCTCTTGAATAGTTTTAAGAATATATGAAGCCAAAGTTTGTGAAGAAGCTTTAGAATGAGGTACATTAATTGTCAGAAATAAACTTGTTTAATCTTTACGTCTGAAGGATTTAGTTCTTTTAAGATAGATAGCAAATGCTCTTCTTGGATGGTCTTAAAAGCTGGTACAAAAATTTTTGCTGATGAATGACCAGGTCTATCCTGTTTAGCCAAACCTTGTCTGCTAAAAGTTTCCCCATCTGCCTTCACAGAAATAGCTCCTCCTAACTAATGTTAACGCTTGAAGGTGGCTGGCTCCCCTGAATGTCGTGATAGCTGTAAGAAAAACAACTTTATATGTTAAAAATTCAATTGATGTTTTTCTCAAAGGTTCAAAAAGAAATGTTTGTAGTGAACTAAGAACTTTAGGCAAATCCCATTCAGGCAATAACTTTGTTACAGGAGTTCTTAAATTGAATACTGTTAATTATCTGATAACAAACGGATGTTAACCAATAGTAGTGTTATCTCCTGGAGGTAAAACTGCAGATAAAATAGAGCGGTAACCTACTGTAAACCTTTATTGTACAAATCTGATAAAAACTCAGCACAAGTATTTAAGGATGCTGTGAAGGAATCAATATTCTTTTGACGACACCATATCATAAATTGTCTTAATTTACTGGAGTAATCTTACTGAGTACCAGTTGTCCAGCTGGTTGTAAGAAGTTTTGAAAAAAAAACATTTTTCTCTAAACTGTCTGTCGATAGCAACCATGCAGTCAGTTTCAGAACACCTGGATTTGGATGACATATCCGAGATTTTGGTTGTTGTAACACGTTTGTAACCAATAGACGACATAACGGTTGAGCTTCCGGCAGATTCAATAAATCTGGAAACCATGGGCGTAGTGGCCAGAATGTTATTAGAATCAGTTTTCAATGAAATTGAGACAAATATAGTTCAGCGTTCAAAACGACATCATCGGGTGCTTGCATATATTTCAAATGACCAACCGACGTTTGCCCATTTTACATAATCAAACGACGTTTGCAAAATCGACAACAAGTGGAAAACATGGGTTTATCTCGAATATAACCTTGCTAATGAAATTATGAATAAGTTAGGTACGAAAATTACATGTAAAAAACATATATCTACTATTATTTTCCCTCAACATAGGTTTCCAGTGAACAAAAAAGATTAGAAAAGGTAAAACCTATCGGCGTTTGCCTACCAAAAAGAAAATTTGTGTCGAAGTGTTCTAAAAAATCACAGAAGTCTCGCAATTACTACATACATAAAATAAAAGCTCAATTAACGACGGGTCCTAAGGTCTAGGTCATAATTTTGTGGATGCAGTAGAAAAAAAGATATCTTCAAATAATTACCTGAAATCGGGTCCGTAATTGCTGAAATGTAAAATCGGCGTTTGCATTTGTGGTCACGTGACAAAACTTGTTCATCCTGAGGGTGTTATTACTTATTTGTGTGTCAGCATCTACATCATTCTGTGTTCAGATTTTTGTGCAGTATAATAACTATAACTTTACCATCTTCTTAACTTAACCCTTACCTTAGCCTGCTGATGATGACAGATTCTACATCTGCAGCCACTACATACCATGTTAGTCAAGCTGGTACATCTGCTATCCGATCATAATCTGCATATATGCGCCATCTAGTCATGATTTTAATTGTTTGATATTCCATCTATACATATTTTAATACATTCCTTAAAATATTATAAGAAAAGTTTGTCCAGATTCAAAGAGGTACAAGTCCATTTAAGATACTAAGAGTGATAAAGGATAATACTGTTAGAAATGGACTTTATACTTTTAATATTTGAATCGTAATATTCCTGATACATGTGTATAGGAAATAAATTACTGTGACACTAATATTTCCAACTTCGAATTTTGTGTAAAAAAATGTTTATTTTATTGTACTGTATCTTCTTTTTATCATAAAGTATTTACTGAAAAGTCATTAAATTTTGTATTTTAGGTTTCGTGGAAGGGGAAATCAAGTAAGAGTCACAATGCAGCATCTACACATGACCTCTGAAAATCAAGAACTTGTAAAAGACATGCTAAAAAATTTACATGGATCAGAGTTAGACATTACAAGGTATCTTTGTTATATAAATACATATGAAAGCATGGTTTTGAAGAAATCTTGTCGCTTACTTGGACTACTTTTAGGTCCATTTTCTGGAACTAAGTAGTATTGGTGTCATTTGAGTAAGCATGCTAGTGTAACAGTTTCATATTGATTTTAAGTTTTTAGCGAATAGGGAAAGCTATTGTACTCACCATAGCATCACTGCTGACTGCTGTCACACATTGGTTAAGTTTTTGCATGCAAGTTGGTATCCAGGCTCTTGTTTTACTATCAAGCACTGAGAATAGATGAGCATGCTGTCCTATTGACAGCTCTTGTTAAGTATAAAGTTGTTCCTAATATATTGTAATTTTAATGTGTATCAAGCTATACATGTTATATATGCTAAACGTGGATTATGAAAATTATTGTTTCTATTGTGACTATTACAAGATACCTGTAATAAAATAAATTTTCTGTATTTTTTATCAAAAGCGAGTTGGCAGTTGTGAAAACATCACCAAAAATTAGCACCTGAATATTTAGTTCAAGAACGTTTAATTCTGTTTACGTGCAATATCTGACATTTATATCAAATTACATAGAAGTTCTATGTTACAAATCTTTTGATAATTCACCATATGTAAGTAACATTATTTTACTGTTATTAAATTTCTATAAAATATGTCATCAGATATAGCTTTTATGCACTTTAATGACATCATAAAGTCTTCAGTAACATGTTTATTATTATCAAGATGTCAAGATTATCTTCAATATTGTAAAAAAAATTCATTTGTTTGTCTACATTTAAAGTGAGGACGAGTATGAAGAGTTGGATTATCGTGCCGAGAACCAGTACTGGATTGTTGATAACAAACTTAAGATTGAGGATTCAGCCGCACATGGTGTTGACAGAAATGCCTCACAGCGTGGCGACTCTACTTCTATTAGTCAACTTGCTGTAAATAAACTCAAAAGGTATTTTTTTCAGCTATAATATGTCTACTTTATTTTCATATTTTTTATGCTGTCATGAAAATGGTCAAGATTGCGCTTGTGTTTTTGTTTTTGTTTCTGTCACACTAACTTACTATTTTTTAATTATTATATAGCAACTTCATTAGGTGTTTATAGGGTCATAGTCAAGGTCACAGAGGTTTTCAAAATGACCAGTCTTCCATTCGAGGCCAGGAACTGGTTTTTACTCAATAATAGGTAGCAAAGATTAGTGTAACTTATAGCATGCATTTCTGCAATATTAGATCATTTACCTGTGCAGTATACATGGTAAAGATCTGAATATTTCTTCAAACTAAAATATTATTTTGTGATGTAAAATTCTTAACCAGTGTCATTGAAGTATTTGTTTTAAATAGTAAGTTAATACATTTGTGTATAAATGTGTTAGCCTGATCACAGGCATACATGTAGATGTTATCTACATGTACATCTCTGGCCTGATGTAAACATTTATCTCTATATTTTACAAAGGTATGGATTTCATAAAACAAGAAGTACAGAAGCACTACAGGTTTGTGATGGTGACCTTGGCCTTGCTTTAGAGTATCTTCTTGCAGAATGTTTCTCATTAAACAATATTGAGGACAACAACTTGAGTAGTGATGATAAAGGGGAGATAATTGAGCTGAGAAACGATGAGATGATGGCACTACAAGCTATCTATGATGAAAAGTTTAATGAAAGGATACCAAATCGTGTCTGGATTCTCAAAGTTTCTCTACCATACCTAGATAAGAAAGTACAACCAAAGAATGACAGGAAAAAGGTTGTTCATGATACAGATGTCAGAGAAGTGTGTAGATTCTTTAAAAGAGGTTTTTGTAAGTTTGGAAAGCGATGTAGATTAGAACATTCATCACCTGTAGCTAAGCATGGTGGTAACACAGATAGTGCAATAGGTGATACTGTGATAGACACGGAGTATGAAATAGAGATAAGGTTTCCTCCGTGTAATATCTATCCTAAAGAACCTCCTTTTATAGCATTTACCTCCACTTCTAGTCTGTTAGATAAACATATATGTCTCAACATTACTAAACATATGATGGAGGAAGCTAAGAAACTGGCCGAGTGTCATGAACCGTCCATATTTACCGTGGTCAGCCTGCTAGATGATGAAACATTTTTAGACAGTGTGGTTAATGAACCACCTCATGAATTTAGTTGTTCTCTTAATAACAAAGCATGGTTTCCACATGGAACAAATCATGAACTTCCTAATAAAAGTATCAGTAATACTGAAAACACTGGAAACTTTAGTTACCATGACAATTCCTATGGAGTAAACAAGGAAGACACAGATGCTCAGTTAGCAAAAGCAACTGAAAGTATGATCAAGATGAGTGAAAGAGATAGAAAACAGGAAGTCAGAAACAAGGAGGTTAAAGGAACAGAAGAAAAACCAGTAGAAGTTAAACGATCTACAAGCAAAGAGGAAGTGAAGAAATTAAACCCTGCAGAGATTTTAAAAACTAATAAAAGACTGATAGAAGACTTTAAAAGGAAAAAGGTATAACATGATTGTCTCATGGCAATTTTATTTTATTCAATCACTTTTTCTATGTACAGTATGTTTAAGAAAATTTGAGGGTTATTTGCTGAGATCTAAGAAAAATTGTTTATTTCCATAAATATTGACCTATATGACATGTTACATGTAAAGGTGTGTTCCAATTTGTGAATTGTTGTCCAATGTAAGTGATAAATGTATATGTATATTCAGACAACTGGTAGATATAAAACGATGCAGGAAAGTCGACAGAAACTGCCGGCCTGGTTTCGTCAAGATGAGATATTAAAGATGATAGATGAACATCAAGTTGTTGTCATCAGTGGAATGACTGGGTAATATTATCTCATCACCTTGATTTACTTGAATAGCTGCACATCTGTTGATAAATATTACTGTGTTGTTGTAGTGATTACTTTTCATAATGTAAAGATTGTTGAAGAAAGGTGATATAAAGATAACTGCTTATTCTCAGTATAACAATATTGTTTGTCTATCTATTCAAGCTGTATTTGAAATTTGTTGCTAAAGTAACACTACACATGTAGTTAAAATCTTGACTCTAGCATTGTTTTGTTTTGTCTTTATTTCAAGGAATTTTTACAAAAACCACATTTATTTTTGAACTATTGTTTTAAGTGATAATAATAGAATGTTGTTGTTTTTTTTTTTTTACAAAATATTCGCTTGATAGTTTGGCAGTTTGATGGTTTAGAAATCATTTCTGCCATGTGATGCTGGTTTTTATGTAAATGTACAAATAAATATATTTTCAATTTAGGCATAATGTTTGCAAACAGTTAGTTTTCCAATTACAGACACCTTAATATTCATATGTAGTGATCATTTCTATATTCATACTAGAATGACCCTAAAGGCCTATTTAGCCTCATAAATGATATCATTTGAATTTTTCAAAAGCTTTTTAGGTTTGGTGTCCTGTAACGGTTTCCAAAAAGTTACTCAGTGGATATATTTCTGAGCCATCTTTTGTTGTTTTGTTTTTTACATTTTGATAATTAGTACTGTTATAGTGAATATGTATTTTGAATAGAAGTCAAAATACCAGTTGTTTCACATTTTGCTACCTTCATCACAATTATTTTTACGGCTGGGGCGAGTATCCGAGTACTCTGATAATCACTAATCAAAGTGAAAAATCGAGTTTGAATATTCGTAAGCCCAGGGATTGTGGATCGCGATTTAATTTTTTTATATACATTCACTGTTTCTCACACTCTTAAAATCGAGAAAAATACTATTTGAGTTTAAGTTATATGAAGTTTAACTAAATACAATTTGCCGGTTAAAGACCATGTACCATGATGCTGAGCTAGGAAGTAATTGGTTTCAAAAAAACAAAACAAAAATACTCCTCCAAAGAATAAAAACATAAACCTAGTTTATATGTTTAATGTTTAGTATTGTTGTTTTTTTTTTTAAAATAAACATGTTTTTATAACTAATGTACATGTTTTTATGGGTGTCTTGATAACAAAAGATTTGTGGTTCAATTTGTGAATCGTAAGTGCTGAATCGTGGTTCGGATCGTATCGTCACTTATCTGACAATCCACACCCCTAATTATTTTCACATTCAACATTATTCTATTCAGGTGATGAGCATCTGGCATGACCTAAATCAGTTATTACAATATCATTTAACACATATTTGCGGTTCCTGCGTAATGAAAAATTTATTTACTACCGAAAATAATGTGCCTAATTGATAATGCTAATCGACTTCTAAATTTTCAAGTTGTGGTAAAACTACCCAAGTGCCTCAGTTCATCCTTGACCTTTGTTTGAACGCTGGTGACCTTCATCTATGCAACATGCTATGCACTCAACCACGAAGAATCTCAGCAATGGCTGTTGCAGAAAGAGTGGCTGAGGAAAGGGCTGATGCTCTAGGGAGGATTGTGGGATATCAAATACGTCTGGAGAAAATGCAGGTCTATATATTTCTTGATTTTATTTGATACACAGAACTGTTGCCGGGTAATTTATAATGTTTTTGAAATTAGTTTGATACGTAGTTGCTATACATGTATTTTACAGTGCATGCACCTTAAAGATTAATTGCATCATTTTATATTCCAATTTTAATAAATTAATCATACAGTATATGTCATAGACTTGTTAATCTTAGAAAACATTTAATTATTGTACAAAAATATTTAAGTTGTCCCCCTTTATTGTTCTTGTATCGTATATTATTAATGTGTAACCGTCTTTAAATAAAGATATTATTACATGTGTATTATTAATATTATTAAGTGCAACTTGTATAAAATCATAATTTTGTTAGTGTTGTTATATTATGATAAATATTGTTTATCTTGATAACTATTTTAGATAATTTTACCATAAGTTTAAGAACACTATATACCTTTTTTCACAGACATTAATTGAACTAAAGATATAGATTAAATCTTTCATATAAAGTCATTAATGTCCAATGTTTTCAATCTTATCTTAAGTGATATATTTAAATTACAGTCTTCTATGACCAGATTATTATTCTGTACAACTGGTATAGTTTTAAGACGACTGGAAGGGGACAATACTCTAGATGGTGTGTCTCATATAATAATTGATGAAGTCCATGAAAGATCTGAGGAAAGGTTTGTTCATGTTTCGCTTTACAGTATATGATATACAACCCATGTATGTTTATATAAAAGTATGTTTGTTACATAATTGATAGCTTCTTTAACCTATGTGTAGCTTCTTTAACCTATGTGTAGCTTCTTTAACCTATGTGTAGCTTCTTTAATCTATGTGTAGCTTCTCTAACCTATGTGTAGCTTCTCTAACCTATGTGTAGCTTCTTTAACCTATGTGTAGCTTCTTTACCTATGTGTAGCTTCTTTAACCTATGTGTAGCTTCTTTAACCTATGTGTAGCTTCTTTAACATATGTGTAGCTTCTTTACCTATGTGTAGCTTCTTTAACCTATTTGTAGCTTCTTTCACATATGTATAGCTTCTTTAATCTATGTGTAGCTTCTTGACCTATGTGTAGCTTCTTTAACCTATGTGTAGCTTCTTTAACCTATGTGTAGCTTCTTTAACCTATTTGTAGCTCTTCTTTAACCTATGTGTAGCTTCTTTAACCTATGTGTAGCTTCTTTAACCTATGTTTCAGGCATTAAGTTATTTCAATGAGAGTGTTAATCCTTTGTATACTAAAATACACTTAATGAAATTTTAATCTAGATCTGCTTCTATATATGTAAACCGTTAAATATTGCAAGTGGATTTGAAGTTATACTGCAAGTTTGAATTTTGCAAGAGATGTTTAATTTATTTTTACAGCTAGTTTGTAGATCACTGATTTCTGTAAAGTTACTTGCTTGTACTGTGTTGTATAATGAGTCTTCCTTTTTACCAGTATAATGTGGCAAATTTACTAAAACTATAATTAATAATATGGCAAATGACAACTTTAATCTTAACCATAAATTAGAAAATTCTTTCAGAAACTTATATTATTAGAGAAGAAATACAAGAGTTATTGTTCAACTATTGTGATATATTTCAGTGATTTTCTGCTGATGTATTTAAAAGACATGTTACCAAAACGTCCTGATCTGAAGGTCATACTAATGAGTGCAACACTAAACGCTCAACTGTTCTCTGAGTATTTTGATGGTTGTGCTGTGGTGGATATACCAGGTCAGTATACATTTGAGCCGCGTTATGACAAAACCAAAATAGTGGGTTTGCGACCAGCATGGATCCAGACCAGCCTGCGTCTTAGCGCACTCTGATCAGGATCCATGCTATTCGCTATCAGTTTCTCTACTTGTAATAGGGTTTTGTAAGCGAATAGCGTGTATCCTGATCAGACTGCGCGAATGCTGGTCTGGATTGATGCTGGTCGCAAATGTATTACGTTGGTTTTGTCGTGACACGGCTCATTTAATAAACAGACCATAGAGACAATGTTATACCTGTAGAGGCGACTATGTTGACCTTGACAACAGTAAGCTGGTCTCATCAATATAAGTCAAGTATTTTAGCCTAACATACCTCAAATTTTGTGAGGAGGTTGATTGTCATTTGTAGATGACCACTATTGTTTTAAGCTGGACTATTCGATAAGAATAATTAGAGCTATCCTAGTCACCCAAGGGTGGCCATCTGTGGTGGCATGCGCATAACCACTTATGTTAAAGTTTGTGGTATGAAAAGTATCTGCTACTGCCACTCGTGAAATATTTATTTTCATACCACTCGATGAAAATAAACCCTGAATTTAAAGAAGAAACTGTAATATCTTCTATTTATTATTTATATGAGATGGATATTTACTCTGGGGAAATGAGACTGTCTTGTCAATATGTATAATAAACATAAACTGATGGGTTTTTTTTTACTTTTAATTATATATACAACATTTATTCATTTCACATAAGACACAGTAATACAATTAACAAGTTCATAGTGCTGTGTAAAAGTATATGAATTAATTTTTGTATCACTTATGCATTTAGACTGGATTTGTTAACAACCATTTAACATTTCACTTCAAGATACTGAATTTTTTTTAATAGAACAGTCAAGATAAACAAAAATAGAGAAAATCAATGTTGATATATAAATAGTTGACCATACTTGTTTTCTTGCATTTCAGTAATTATAAGTTATGTTTATCAGTTCTTAAATGCTTCCGGCTAAGTGCTGCAATATTTACACATCCTTTTTATTTGGTCAGATAAATTTTTTCTGCCGCCACAAGTAATATTATCCGTAACTATCTAAGGTGATATTGCTGTCTAATCATTTTTATAAGGATCACTTATGTACTGGTTGACAATTTTTCTTTTCGGACTTTAAATTGACTGTATCAGACAGTGTCAAGTTAAAATAATATATTGAATGAAAGGCAGTACTTTGAAATTTCAATCAATTTGAGTCAGGCAATAAGTATATGATCATTTCTAACTCAATCTACTTGTGTGTCTTGTCCGCTCCCATTTTGTTGGTTAACCAGTATGCCTGAGAGAAGTCTACAAATATGAATGATTGCCACATTGTTTCTTCTTCTTTGTTGAAGAGAAAGCAGGTAGCTTTCTAATGCTAGTTGGGGTCTGTTTTCTTGTTCCATACATTGTCCTAATATATTTAGAACTGTTTCTCTATGTCCTAGAATTTTATCTGTTACTGTGGTTTCTATAAGATTATTGAGTGCTTGTTGTTGCTCTTGTTGTCTTTGTAGACGACCATAGATCTTATATTGTAGGAAGTATAAGAAAGGTAAGGAATCAATTACAGCCCAGTCCATCCATAGGTCATAATTTGGATCTCTGTGTATCATGTCATCTTGTGTAGATCTGAACATTTCATATTGTAGTTCATGAGGAACACAGTTGATCTCTTTCTGTATGAATTTGACACAAAATGACATCATCTGTTTGATAGTACAGTTCTCACCTTGTTCATAGCATGCCCTTGCAAATTCTGTTGTTGCCGCTGGTTTGGGTTTAAGCCAACAGTCACAAACTGTTAAAAGTGGATTAGAGTGATATTGTTGTTCAACTTGTCTCAGAATTTGTTCAGCTTCCTCCATATCTCCTACACTGTAGAATAGTGAGGCCATTTTAAGTCTGCTAGATGAAACATCTGAGTTTAAACCAAATGATAGCCAAGCCATTGCTTTTTGAGACAAGAGTTTATTTCCACCAATATATGATGATGCCATGGCAGATCCATATGTGGTGAACAGAAAAGGTGCTAGAAGCTTGCATGAATCTAGTGTTATTTCTGTACCAAACATACTTAAGGTCAAAAAATTTTCAGCAACTTGCTGCAATGTTTTTATATCTTTATTTTGTAAATGTTTTAAGAATGTGTCATGCCATGCACTTATATGCAGTGCCAAGGTACCACAATCATTAAGTGAAAGACGTTCATGTATTTCAAGAGATGACAGAAAATTGTATGCTCTTTTTGGTACTTTATTCAGTTTAACTTGTAACCTACATCCAAGGTCATCAATATCAATTCTAAATAAGCATTGTATATCACTCTGTATAAAATCACTTATATTTTTTAAAAGTACTTGTTTTATCTCAGGCGTAAAATGTCCTGCCATCAAATTGTTTTCTGATATTATAAAATGTAAACAGCAGTCATTTTGTACACAACTGTGTAATTCCTTTAAGCAATATATTAAACATGTTAATAAATTGTTTTCTTTCCATATACTTAGTTCTGTGTTTTCAATACAATGTAATAGAACTGTTTTACATATATAGCTAGACATGTACTTTTCCTTTTGAGGATTCAAAAAAGATTTAAGAATCATCTTCATTAAAACATTGCACCTTAATTGTGTCATATTTAGATGAAGCATAAGACATCTCTCTGCCAGTGTAGTAGATATTCTCCATTCTAGTTCAGGATATTTACTGACCTTACTTCCAGTCGCTACAACAGAACAACAAGTACTGGCAGCATTTCTTCTCAACTTTTCTGATGGCCATCCTCCTTTTCCCTGCCTCTCTAACCAACTTGATGCTAATTGAGGCCATGATTTACAAGGGTAAGCAAACACCCTGTCTCTATCCAAGTCTCCATATTGTCCTTTTGTAGCAATTGATGGTCCATCGAGATGGTCAGCATCCTCAAGCATATCTTTTATTAATGTGTTTTTATACAGTATTCTTCCTTTTCTATCAGTAATAAAGTGTTTATCAGGAATCTCAGTAGCAGGAATAGGTTTATCAGATTGGAACAACTGTAGAAAACAGTAGCCAGGCGTTGTGTTTTCATCTTGTATCATTAGGTAGTTTATCTTGCCAAGTTCCCACTCTGAATGGTCTTGTATTACATTTATGTCATGAACACAGTATAGTATATCATTGTCTGAATGAAGTCCTAAAGTAGTTGTTCCTTCAACTACACTCCCTATATAATGGATTTCAACTAAATCTTTATCAATTAACCTAAGTGCAATTTTACCCATATTTTCTCTCAGATGATGTACTCTTCTTCTTTTATTCACCATTCTTTCATTGACACCAATATCGTCTAAAACCTCTGATAACATCAGTGATAGATGTTCCCTGTAGGGAGGTGCTGGAAACATTCTGTCAAATATAAAATAACAATAAGGGAAATTTTTAATGACAGCCAGCAAGTTTCCTTGTTAGCATTGCAATTCGTTATTCATTTGTCACTTAATGTTTATGACAGAACAGAACCTTAGTGTCAAGTTTTACAAGATTTCTTGATACATCTGTAATATAAGTGAAAAACTGAAACATTTTGTCAGGATAGCCAGTCTTAACATTATGAAATTTAGGTTACTTATGTTGATACAATCAGATATAAATTAGTAAAAGATACTATTCTTTTTGTTGATTCATTTGTATTTATGTTTCACTCTCTTTTTTTCCTCTGGGCATATTGTAATCGAACAGTCTGTCTGTCCGCACTACCAAATATGGTTTTCAGTACTACATTAAGTTTCACTTATTCTAACTGAACAGATTGAAAGGGAATATTTGAGTTCATTCTGTAACAAAAGAGGGGAAGGGTAGGAATATGCCAGTACCTTTGGGTGGAGTTAGGGGTCAGCCAAAATATTTCAAGAAAATCGAAACCTGAGAAAAATGTGCTAAAATTTTAAGAAAATAAAAAAGATTCAAGTAATAATGTACATGTTATGTGTGGTAAATGACTGATTATGCATTATTTATCACAATAATTCTACCACATGACTAACGCAGTAAGGGATAATTTTGCATATTTTCACCTCTTGTTGGTAATTTACATGGACTCTAAGTGCTTTTCTAATGTGTTAATTACTTTTTGTTCACTTCACAATTATATTAAACTGTTAAATAGGTTTTCAAAATTTTAATGAAAATAAGCAGGAAAATGAAGACATGCCGCCCCAAGTCAATCATTATTATAAGTTTCTTGTATCATGACTTTACATTCAATAAGACATTTTGTACAAGTTATGCATAAAAAAATAATAAGCTGTCAATGACATTTATCTAATACAATCATGTAGATAATAATAGTATTCTTAATTGATTTGTTTCTTTTAAGCTGACTTAAATGGAAATTAGCTGGTGGAAATAATTAGTAATTCTTACTTGCTGTTTTAATTGCAAACAAAAGGAAACATTCTTTTTAAATGAATACTAGTAACCAACGTCTACTTTGTTTTATTTCCAATAGTTTATTTGATACTAAATTGTGTCTTCAGTTCTACTCTTCAGTTTAGTTGAAAACTACCCTAGTAGAGCTTGCATAACTACACATTCCAAAACAATTAAATTATTTTAAGCTTGGCTAAACTAATGGTAAATTTTAGTAATTTTGGTATGTGTTTAGTAAGGAAGTACTTAAACACACATTTTAACTTAAATAGAAAACACAGTACTTTTTACATTATTTTGCAGAATTGTGTATATTTCAAAAATAATTATTTTAAACTTACTTGAAAGTCTGGTTCAAGAATATGACATGAAATCAATAAAAACAATATATTTCTTTCTGTTCCGTGAGGTAGTTGGAAATTTTACTATTTTTACTTCCTTGTTTGGTGAATGGATATATAAAGGGAAACAACCCACTTTATCTTCTTTTTGTTATTGAAGGAAATTGAATTGTGTCCCTTCAAAATACTGCAGTCCTCAATACAAAGAACTATAAGACTAAATTATGTACAGTTATATTTATAAGATAATGAAATAAATTATTACAATACAACTTTGTTCTTAAAGAATATTGCATATATTTTAACCCTTTCCCTCATGAGCATATTGTGAAAAATGGCCGTTTTCATTGAATAGCCTCCTGTTACAAGTTCAAACTGCTATGAAACTATGAAAAATGCTTCAATACTATTCAAACTTGGCACAAATGTTGACTGGACCATGCACTGCCTTTGTAACGACATGCTAAGTCTTAAATTTTCTGTTACCATGGCAATGAGGGGTCATCTCAAAATTGCCAGAAAATCACTATTTTGCCTTGATTTTTTCCATCAAAATTGATTTCAAAGTGCTGCAACTTCTCAATGAATTGAGATAGAGTAAAAGGCTTTTCAGCGTTGGTTACACATTACCTTATAATCAACCTGAGGTCATTTTTAGCCTCTCACAAGTCCAAAATTTTCTTGGTGATCAGGGGGACTACCTCCCCCCTTCGAATTCCCTAAACAGAAGGGGGCTCATCCCCCTTCTGGCAACCCCCTGATGTACCTTTGGATAGGGGGCGGCACCGAAAAAGTGATTTCCCAAACAAAAAACAATGTTTGGGGCCTAAATAGCATATTTTTTCACTGTTTGAGGCCTCAAAAAGGCAGGGGGTAGAAAAGCTGTCAAAACACGTCTATATGAAGTAAAGGGTTAAGATAAAATGTTTTACAGACATGATATGTCAAGAGTATAGGATTGTGGCATTCTTTAGATAAACATTAGATTTAAATGGGCTTTTACAAGTCAAATAAAAAAATTTTTAATGTATTATACTGCTGTTGTTTTGTGTGCATGTGTGTGTGTGCTGGGGTTGTGGGGGGATTGCTTTTTAGCTCGACTATTCAATAAGAATAAGTAGAGCTATTGCAGTCACCCGAGCGTCGACGTCAGTGTCGGCGTCTGCGTCGGCGTAACCACTTATGTTAAAGTTTTTGTAATAGTTCAAATATTTTCAAAGTCCATTGACATATGGCTTTGAAACTTTGCACACTTGTTCACCATCATGACCCCAACCTGTAGACAGGAGGAGGTAACTCTATCAAGCATTTTGACAGAATTATGCCCCTTTTTCGACTTAGAATTTATGTTAAAGTTTTTGTAATACCTTAAATATTTTCCAAGTCCATTGACATATGGCTTTGAAACTTTGCACACTTGTTCACCATCATGACCCCAACTTGTAGACAGGAGGAGGTAACTCTATCAAGCATTTTGACAGAATTATGCCCCTTTTTCGACTAAGAATTTATGTTAAAGTTTTTGTAATACCTCAAATATTTTCAAAGTTCATTGACATATGGCTTTGAAACTTTGCACACTTGTTCACCATCATTACCCCAACCTGTTAACAGGAGGAGGTAACTCTATCAAGCATTTTTTTTTACTATCAAGCACTAAGAATAGTCGAGCGTTGCTGTCCTACCGACAGCTCTTGTTAGTGGTAATGTTACATGTATAATGATTACGTCATATTTCTAAATATAGAACGTCAAACAGTGATTTTATAGCATAACAACATACACTTTAGGTTCTTCTATGTTAAATAAGGAAAAATGCAGGTGGTGTTAGAATACATGTTTATGTATTATTATTTCAGAAAATATTTTTTATGGTGTTAGTATATACATTATATTCTTTTATATTTTGAGAAATATTAAAAGTATGAGGGGGAAAAGTTGATTGAGTAAGGTTAATGATGTGTATGAAACAAAGTTGTAGAATTTATCACGTTTTCTATTTCAGGACGTACATTTCCAGTAGAGCAATATTTTCTTGAAGATGTAATGGAATTTACAGAGTGAGTGATTATATTAAAATATACTTTATTTCTTGATTGTTTTACTGTTCTACATTGCCTTATTCATCTGTATTGCAATTATGGCAACATTAATCACTGTATTGTATCTTTTGTTGCCATAAGTTAATCAAATGGAGATAAAATAATGATTCATGACTTATTTTTCTGTGTACCAAGCTTAAATGAAGATTCAAAATTTCGTTGTCCTTGGTTTTTTTGTGGTTTTATTCACTAAATTTTGTGCTATGACAGCCATAATTGTGTAAATAACGTCTGTGAATTATTTCAAATAAGGAAAGGGATAAACAATAATTGGTTTATCACTACTTTAGTATGAAACTTAATGATCTATAAATTTGTTTTACATTTTCCAGATTTGTTATGGAAGAGTCATCACCTTATGCTAGACCTCTGAAACATATGAATGCTGTACAAAGGGGCGTGGCTGGGGAGGAGGAGCAATATGATGACAGTGGTAGTGGTCCAGCCCATAAAGCTAGCGATAGGGTGCAAGATCAAAATTTGTCTGTGAAACAGCTATATCTGAGATATCCTGGTAAGTTTAAAGTAAAACTCACTTTATGATGAATAAAAGATTATTGTATTGGTTATCTTTCAAGGACAATTTTTTATTGGATTGTAATCTTGTTAAATTTGAAGAACAAAGTTGACATCTTAAAAGTGAAATGCTGTAATGATTGCAAAATTGTGCATTTTTAGCTCGACTATTCGCAGAATAATGGAGCTAATGCAGTCACCCATTTGTCGGCGTCGGCGTCCCTGTGGTTAAGATTTTGTATGTAAGCTGGTATCTCTATAACTACTGAAGGGAATGGATTGAAACTTCACACACTTGTTCTCTGTGATTATCTAAGATGATTGGCACAAGTCCCATAACTCTGATTTGCATTTTTACATTATTATGCCCCTTTTTCGACTTAGAAATTCTTGGTTAAGTTTTTGCATGTAAGCTGGTATCTCCATAACTTCTGAAGGGAATGGATTGAAACTTCACACACTTGTTCTCTGTGATTATCTTAGATGATTGGCACGAGTCCCATAACTCTGATTTGCTTTTTGACATAATTATGCCCCTTTTTCGACTTAGAAATTCTTGGTTAAGTTTTTGCATGTAAGCTGGTATCTCCATAACTACTGAAGGGAATGGATCGAAACTTCACACACTTGTTCTCTGTGATTATCTAAGACAAGTCCCATAACTCTGATTTGCTTTTTTGCATAATTATGCCCCTTTTTTGATTCATAAATTCTTGGTTAAGTTTTTGTGTGCAGTTCTTGTTTCATTTTGTTTGTAATATTTTTGGGAATGAGCAGCAAGAATGTCAGATTCCTGTGAGTGTCCCTCTCTATTCACCACCCTTATGTCCACTCCAGGTTTTGGTTTGTTGCCTTCTGGGTGTGTCGGGGGCTGTGTCCTGTGAACCTTGCCTTTGCCTTGTTGATCTTTATTCTTGTCTTTAAACTAAAAGCCTAACTTAAGTAGAAAACCCTTACAATAAAAACAGACAGATGAACACTAAATTTACAACAAGACCATTACATAAGCCATGTATTAATACATATTTTTTTATTAATGTCATTTGGTAAGTGACATGTGTAGTTGGTTACTGGATATGTGACATGTCAAGATAGTATATAGATTTTATTATTGTAGATTATCACAAACTAACTTTAAAGAACATGGCATTGATGGATCACACAAAGATCAACTTTGACCTGGTCCTGGAACTGATGTGTTGGTTGGTCACAGAAAATCATAAGGATCTAGAGGTAGAATTTAAGGACATTTGAGCCACGCCATGACAAAACCAACATAGTGTGTTTGCGACCAGCATGGATCCAGACCAGCCTGCGCATCTGCGCAGTCTGATCAGGATCCATGCTGTTCTCTTACAAACCCAATAACAAGTAGAGAAACTGATAGCGTACAGCATGGATCCTGATCAGACTGTGCGGATGCGCAGGCTGGTCTGGATCCATTCTGGTTGCCAACGCATTACGTTGGTTTTGTCATGGCGCGGCTCATTTATATTGTATTGTAATAATTATGTAGACATATATGTTTATCATATTAACAACTCAACAAGATCATTGTTAAAGTGTGCTGTTAATGGCTATTCTTTACTGTTAGATTTATTAACTTTATGTTTAATTTATATTATAGTTATTGTATATGCTCATGTGTACATTGTGTATTTTATTTTGTTTTCAATTGAAAATGTTGACATTTTTACAAGTTATACCAAAAGTGTGTATTATTATTGATCATCTATCGTCTATATAAATATCATAGTCTATGATTAAGGTATTGAGTTTAAAGATATACTATGCTCATTTTCAGGTTAAATACTTTCTAATTGCAAAAATGTATTTAAATCTAGGAAATTCTTATTGAATTCTTATACATGGCTAAACTTGAATAAGGGAATGCAAAAATAATGTTTTGGAAGCTTTGTTGCCTATAACTGGTCAAGTTAAGCTGAGTTTTTTTCTTCTTCTTTTTTAAACTGCCAGTTTTTTGGGGGGTTTTTTAACGACACTATGTATTCATGCTGTGTTTATGTAAAATGTGTAGTGTTTAAAATGTAACATATCTTCTATGTGTGTACTCAGAAGATGTTTATTTTACATGTAAAAATTACTGTCTGGAAATTATCAGTATTTTTCAAATATCAAATTTTAGCATAATATATTATTATAATACATGTAATTCGTCACCTCAGTGTATTAATGGGTTAACTCCTATTAAATTTTGAAAGGAAATAACCCATTACTGCATTAGGTGACTAATTTGATTTATAAAGCTCTCTATATGGACTACTGGTTTGGGAGATAAACTCGGCCGAAAATCAGTGTTTTGGGGGCATATTTCATTTATTTGTTTACGTATTCTGATGAATCTTGCACCATAATAAACTTCAGCTCTTTGATTTTCCGGTATCACCATAAAAGTTATATTTAGAAACATTACGGGTAATTTTGAGAGGCCCTGGAAGAGGTACGTAAAAGGGATATTTTTAACGCGCGCGAGTAGATAATTCCGGCTCTTTGTTTTTCTTCTTAAATGAGTAAGTTAAAACGTAAAATAACATGTTTAGACATTGTATTATTTCTTTGCTGTTCATTTATGTCAAATAAAAATATTTGTTACCAAAATTGTTGAGAATTACGTTCGTATAATGAATATCTATGATAACACGATATTTATATGCAACGGACTTGTAACATATTAATCATTTTTACGTAAAAACACATGCATTATCATTTATTAACGTATAACGAAATATGTAGTAAAATAATTAGTGATTCAGATTTATTTTTGCTTAGCTTAACAGAGTGAAGAAGAAATTAATTTAGTGGTATTCAACTTACACATTAACATATAAAAGGAGCATTTACCATCAGTCTTTCAATCCATTTCACTTAAAGATTACAATTGTGTAATCAGCCTTTTTTCTGAGTTAGCAAGAATTCCATCTACAAAATGTATACGTAAACGTCGTCACCTTTACCGGTAGTCGGTCAAAATATAAAAGTACCCCTGTGCGAGCCTCAAAATGAGCACCTGCTGCACATGCGCACAACAATGGAATTCCCGTACTTTTTATAGGCATGTTTTGTAAACAAACAGGTAAAAGTGTGTGTTATTTTTTTAAATACCTTACCAAACTTGACAAAATTTCCAGAGATTGTCGAATTCCAGCAATAGTATGAGATGATGAGCTTGATTAGATTAAAAATTCTGATAATTCGATTTAATTATAAAAAGCCGAGTTTATCAACCAGCCGAAGTTATCTCCCCAACCAGTATAGTATTGATACAAGGTGCATGTAATTTATATATTTGATTATTTCAGTTTCCAGAGAAAGGTGCAATCCTTGTATTTATGCCTGGTTACGCTGAGATACAAACATTATATGATATGTTACTCTCTAGTCCCGTGTTTGGTGGTAGAAATAAACACAGGTATGTTTTACTTTGATCTTTACCTTTTTAACTAATTAAGATAGATACTAAAATAAGATACTAAAGTAATAAGTTTCAAATAGTGTATCTATATATTGTAAATAAACAATTCTATTGCCGAAACAACTCAGTTTATTTGATTTGGTATCTTTCTTAAAAGACGGTAAAGATATACTCATATTTCTCAAGCATTTGAACATGCTTGACACCTATAAAATATAATAGTAGGGAAGTGACATCAAGAGGCCTAAAATAATACACAGAAGGGCACCTGAGGTCTTCCTCCAGTAAAGCTGGAAACTATACTGTAATGGTGCGATGTAAAACCCAGTAAACATACAGCTTCACAATTACATTTTATTTCATCAGGGCCTGTTATCATACTGTATATTGATTAGTCTTTGCTACTGTCAATTAACCATTTCTTTATTTTACAACTTTTTATAAAATCCATCAATATGGAGAGCATCAGATAAGTGATCCAGTGGTCACTGGTTTGTTTCTTGGTTGAGGCCTAATTTCTCTGTGACATTTGATCTCTGACATTGAGTTCTGATGATCATTATTATGTCTCTTGGTAATTATTTGTTAATTATCCAGGAAAGCTGGTTAGGTGGATCATCAACAAAAATATGACCAAAGCATGTGTTAAAATTAACATGAAAACCAGAACAAACAAACAAATAAATTTTTCATGATGTAAAAGAGTATAATATATCGTCTAGCATACATGTGATAATGTTTGAAAAGTCTTAGATTATTATTAAACCTTACCAAACGAAATTTTTATGATAGGCTTGAAGTAGGCATGAAGTTTGATTTTGTATGTAATGAAACATTTTTCTGAATGAAATTTGTAAACATTAAAATCATGATGTTTCCAGGAATAATTATTTAACTGCTGATTAAAGTAAGGTTTTAACCATTTAGCAATTGATTTGTAAATACGCAATTTGTTTGCAACGAAATATACATACAAATTGTATATAGATCTACATTATTTCTTTCATACAGGTTATTTGGAAGTATTCTTATTTCAAAATTCAAACAATAATTGTGTACACTATAGACAGTGGATGTATAACTTAATACACTTAATGATTTTATTTTGAAAAAATGTAATTTACAACTCAATTATACTGGGCTTGATTGGAGTTTACAAATGTTCAGGCTGGCTTAGCTGTAATAAAGTGACGGTAAAGACAGGTCTTAATTGCTATACTCATTGAAAGGTTTAAATTAATACATGTATATGACATATGTTTGATGTATTTTCAGGTATAAGATAATACCTCTACATTCTACCTTATCATCTGAGGATCAACATGCTGTTTTCTCGTAAGATATTGTTAGTCCAACCTTAAACCTTGATAAAAATTGTAACATTTCTTTGTAAACCTGTAACTTTCAAACACAGGGATATTTGCTCTATATTAATTATATTAAATGGAACTACTTGGTCCTTTTTATTGATAGATGAATCATGATATGAAATGAAATACAGAGTCATTAAGTCCAAACCCTCTAATAGAAACAAACTAAGCATTAAAAATTGTCATTATTCGGTGTTCTTTTCGCATATTCTAGTATTTTGAACTACTTAAGACTTTATTTTTTTATTGTAAAGCTACCATTTGAAATCTGTATCTTGATTTTCAATAGGAGAAGTAATATATTGAGAATAAGAGGACAACAGTTACACTAAAACAATTCTTCACAGAATTGCAATAAACCATATTTGTAGCTAAACTTTAGTTACTTTACAAAATTGATTCGCTAAACATGTCATTTTTATATGATTTTCATTCTAAACAGTGATTATAATTTGTTTATTATAAATTTGAAGGAGGCCACCAGAAGAGGTTACAAAGATTGTCATAGCAACAAATATTGCTGAAACTTCTATCACCATTGATGATATCTGTTTTGTTATTGATACTGGTAAAATGAAAGAGAAAAGGTATGATTTTGTTATCTTATTTCTTAAATGTACAATGTATATGATTTCTTTTTTCTAAACATTTAGAACTATTTTTAGCTCGACTATTCGATAAGAATAAGTAGAGCTATTGTAGTCACCCGAGCGTCGGCGTCGGCGTAACCACTTATGTTAAAGTTTTTGTAATAGTTCAAATATTTTCAAAGTCCATTGACATATGGCTTTGAAACTTTGCACACTTGTTCACCATCATGACCCCAACCTGTAGACAGGAGGAGGTAACTCTATCAAGCATTTTGACAGAATTATGCCCCTTTTTCGACTTAGAATTTACATTAAAGTTTTTGTAATAGTTAAAATATTTTCAAAGTCCATTGACATATGGCTTTGAAACTTTGCACACTTGTTCACCATCATGACCCCAACCTGTAGACAGGAGGAGGTAACTCTATCAAGCATTTTGTCAGAATTATGCCCCTTTTTCGACTTAGAATTTACGTTAAAGTTTTTGTAATAGTTCAAATATTTTCAAAGTCCATTGACATATGGCTTTGAAACTTTGCACACTTGTTCACCATCATGACCCCAACCTGTAAACAGGAGGAGGTAACTGTATCAAGCATTTTTTTTACTATCAAGCACTAAGAATAGTCGAGCGTTGCTGTCCTACCGACAGCTCTTGTTGAAGGTATTTTTTTTTTTTTTATCTTTTTTGAGGTGGGTGGGGGGTGGGAGGGAGTGTATTTGTAAATTATAGGAAAGTTGAATTCAATTTTAATTTGTACAGCTTAGATACCTGAGATAATTGTGAGTAATTAAATTACTGAAGTAAAAAAGTTGTTCAGGATTACTACTTTAGGTAATGATAACTTAAAGGGATTCTACTGTTGGTCATTTTGACATGACAGGAATGGAAATATTTTGTATATATGTGAAAATGGTCTGCATTTACCATAAAGCTGGATAATCTTCATAAAAGTTTATACTTTTTGTTTTGAAATTAGTATATACATTTTTTCAGATATTTGTTTTGAAGTGAGTTTACATTTTATACTTTCAGATATTTATTTTGAAGTAAGTTAGATTATATATTTAATTTTCAGATATGATTCAACTAAAGGTATGGAGAGTTTGGATACAGTATGGGTGTCAAGGGCAAATGCTTTACAGAGGAAAGGTCGTGCCGGGCGTGTTAGAGCTGGAGTGTGTTTCCATCTGTTTACAAGTCACAGGTTTGAGCACCATCTTCAGGAACAACCTATACCAGGTATGTTTTTATGGTTTCGTGTCTGCAATATTTCTCTACAGTTCCTTAACAAAATGATTATTACAAGATTGTTGAATAACCAAACAGGTAAGAGGTCTGAAAGGTTTGATTTTACTTTATAATATTATGATTTCCAATTTGTTAGTTACATGTATATTTTTAATTAACCAATATCTGTATTTTCTGTACCTGACATTTATGTTTTATGCCTAGAGTGGACAAAAATAGATGTCTGTAAAATTTTAAGGTCTCGTTTGACCTTTAAATAACACAGTGTATGCTTCATTTGTCATGACTATTTAGATTGACATAATGTGTTTGTGAAAATGTTTAAGGGAAGGGTCTTTTGTATTATTTTGACACGTATAAAGTTAGATATGGGAGATAATATAAAATTATTGTATGATTTATGTATGTTATTATTATAGAGATTCAGAGAGCTCCACTAGAACAGATCTGTTTAAGGATAAGGATGCTGGACATCTTTAAAAGAGTTCCTGTAGAGGTAACATTTGTTGTACAAAATACATGATAATATAATTGTAATCGAAGTTAGCTTGCTATATTAATCTAGAAACTTCTTTTTTATTACATAAACATTTTAATAAAATGTTTTAAAGGTAGACTGCCTAAGATGTTTAAGCAACAAAATCATTGTTAATGATGTTTAGAAGATTGACATGTACAGTAGAATCCCTACATAAGACATCCCCAGAATTAAGACCACTCCACTATTAACACCAAATTTTACAACAATGGAATTTTCTTTTCTTTATGTGAACATGCACTCATTCAATATCCTCTATATATTAATATTGTATATTTCAGGTTGTGTTACACAAGTTACCTGAGCCCCCCGACTATGAGGCTATCACCTCAGCTATCAAGAGGCTAGAAGTTCTAGGAGCCTTAGACAGTCAAGGGGTAAGTAACTATGTTTGTTCTAAATGATTAGATATGCATAATTAATGCCCTTTATCTAAATTTTCCAGCTATAACTTCCTATCTGAATATTGTGATATTTTCAAATCAACTTACTTCGTATTTGTGGAAACATGAAATATATTAGATATATAATTATGATATATTGTAACAGGCAAAAAAGGTATTTTTATCAGTATATAAGTGTGTAAATATGTTTATATTTGAACAGGAACTGACACCACTTGGTTACCATCTGGGCACATTACCTGTAGATGTTAGGTAAGTTCAGATTATTATATAATTTGCTAACTTCTGTTTTCATATAATACTGGTACTATATTTTTAGAGTTCAAATACCCAGTATTGTGTTAATAACTTTAGGTCTGACTGAGTAATTATACAGTATTTTTAAATACAAAACTACAAACTGTGCAAAATTATATGACAACACTGACATGTTTCTATTGGTATACCCTCATAGAAAGAGAGGCGTGGTTAAGGTTGTTGACTTCAGACCACTTGCCACTCACCACTGTGGGTTCGAATCCTGACAGGGCCTTTTGATTCTTTCATGTGAGGAAGCTATCCAATGTTGGTGTTGCTACTCAAGTGCCCATATGTATCATGTAAAATGTATATATCCTTTCCAGGGCCTTATGTTGAGAAGTACTGTGAACCATGTTTTAATATATAATCAAAGCAAAAGAACAAGAACAAGAAATTTAAATATAACTTCATGATTTTTATAACAAGTTGATTATTAATTTTTGCCCAATATTACTCATGTAAAATACATGGCTCAGTGTTAAATAAATGTATATTTATTTCAGGATAGGAAAGTTGATGTTATTGGGTGCTATATTTAGATGTCTTGATCCAGCTTTAACTATAGCTGCCTGTCTCAGCTTTAAATCTCCTTTTGTAAGTACTTGATGATGCTATATTTTACTGTATAATTATTTCCCATCTAGCATCAGTTTGGGAGTGTCTATATATGGGCTAGAGGAAAGATCAGTTGCTTCAAAGCACTAACTGCCTACAAATGGTGGTTTACATCTGGTTATAGACAAATAATCCTACCATTCGGTTAATTAGATGAATGTGGATTTTTAATTGGTTGAAATCTCAGTGAACATGAATAGATAAGAAAAGGATTTGTGGCTTGCTTACAGGGGGAGGTCAGAGGTGCTTGACATACATGTAATACTTAAATTGGCATTTAGATTATATGTCTATCAGAGATAGAGGAGCTATTCTTTTATTATGCTCCCCGAAAAAATTTCGGGGGAGCATATAGTCGCCGCCTTGTCCGTCCGTCCGTCCGTCTTTCCGTCCGTCCGTCCGTCCCCTTTTCTTGTCCGGGACATAACTTTGAAACAACAAGAGGTATCAACATGAAACTTTGTAGGTAGATAGATCTCATTGAGTAGGTGTGCAGTGCACAAGAACCGTAACTCTGCCTTGCCTAATTTTTGAATTATTCCCCTTTGTTTATTTTTACACTTTGAACTTTGTCCGGGACATAACTCTTAAAGTATAAGAGGTATCAACATGAAACTTTGTAGGTAGATAGATCTCATTGAGTAGGTGTGCAGTGCACAAGAACTATAACTCTGCCTTGCCTAATTTTTGAATTATCCCCCTTTGTTTATTTTACACTTTGAACTTTGTCCGGGACATAACTCTAAAAGTATAAGAGGTATCAACATGAAACTTTGTAGGTAGATAGATCTCATTGAGTAGGTGTGCAGTGCACAAGAACCGTAACTCTGCCTTGCCTAATTTTTGAATTACCCCCCTTTGTTTATTTTACACTTTGAAGTTTGTCCGGGACATAACTCTAAAAGTATAAGAGGTATCAACATGAAACTTTGTAGGTAGATAGATCTCAGTGAGTAGGTGTGCAGTGCACAAGAACGGTAACTCTGCCTTGTCTTATTTTTGAATTATCCCCCTTTGTTTATTTTACACTTTGATCTTTGTCCGGGACATAACTTTGAAACAACAAGAGGTATCAACATGAAACTTTGTAGGTAGATAGATCTCATTGAGTAGGTGTGCAGTGCACAAGAACGGTAACTCTGCCTTGCCTACTTTTGGAGTTATTGCCCTTTGTTCATTTTGACACTTTGACTTTGTCTGGGACATTACTCTAAAATTATAAGAGATATCAACATGAAACTTTGTAGATAGATAGGTCTCATTGGGTGGAAGTGCAGTGCACAAGAACCGTAACTCTGCCTTGCCTTATTTTGAAGTAATTGCCCTTTGTTTATTTTTACTTTTTGACTTTGTCCTGGACAATACTTTAAAACTATTAGAGATATCAACATGAAACTTTGTAGGTAGCTAGATATAATTGGATAGAATTGCAATGCTTAAAGAACCTAAACAAAGCCTGGTCTAATTTTGGAGTTATTGCCCTTTGTTCATTTTTACACTTTGACTTTTACCTGGGACATAATTCTGATATCATCAGGAAACTTTATAGATAGATAGATCTCATTGAATAGAAGTGCAGTGCAAAAAAACATAACTCCGCTTTGCCTAATTTTGGAGTTTTTGCCCTTTGTTCATTTTTTTTATACTTTCCTGTGTCCAGAACCTTCTCGGGGAGCATCACCCGGTTCAACCGGTTCTTGTTTCTTTAGGCGCATCTTTTGCTAAGTGAAAGTCAGTTGTTCTATTCAGATGCCGATTTGTGCCTGAAATAACACACAGAGGGCAACTGAGGTCTTCCTCCTCCAGTAAAAGCTGACAAATGGCCATATTACCTCATGCTGTGTAAGTGCGATGTAAAACCCAATAAAAAACATATTTACTTAGAGGTATAGTAACTTGAAACAGCATCCATACCTATTATACATGTAAACTATATGTTATTTGTTGAAAAACTACAAATGAACGAAAAAAGCATTATGTTCTATTTCAGGTGACACCGTTTGGTAAGAAACATGAGGCTACAGAGAAGAAACTTGGCTTTGCTGCAGGAAATTCAGATCATCTCACAATGCTGAATGCATATAATGTAAGTTCATATATGAAATCAATAAAAATGTTTTCAACTTCAAACAATTGGAAGAAATTAATACAATTATGGGTGTTTTTCCTTTATACAAGTGATATCCATTTTGCAACCAGCTCTCAAAGTACATGTAATGCATACCCTGTAATGACAATTTAAACATTAACCTGGTGGAACCAAAAGTTTGCCACCAGCATAGATCCAGGTCAGCCTACATGATCGTGCAATGTGACCAAGCTCTATACTCTACGCTGACTCACTTAAATTTTTATCATGATATCCCTAGAATTTATAATGAACAGTCACCAAAACTGGAAGTTGTGCATGTTTATCGAGAAATTCAGCAGGTTACAGGTTAAATTCTATTTTATTAATCACAGACATACAAAAATTCAGGCTGGAATGTTAAAGGGAAAGACAAGGTTAGAATAAAAACTTGATTTCAGAAAAAGAATACTATAAATAATAAATCTGCAAATTTTCTGCCGCCAAATAAGAATATTAAACGAATGATAACAAAATTTAAATCGCTAAATCACCGATTTCTACAAATCAGTAAGCGCGGCCATGTTTGTGTATTGACCGTTTAAAAACAGGTGCGCGTGATGTCATTTCCCCACATCTTTAGTTTTATGATAAATCTAGTTGAATCGTAGGGAAATATTAATATAATAAAGTATAGATATGACAATTTAATTTTCACAGGAGGAGATTTTTTATGGTTCAAAATACGTAACAATATCCAAAAAAAAATAAAAAAAACAAGATTGCATTTGAGAAAAATGCTATGCCACCGCATTAATACAACACTAAGTAGTAGTGTAGGAACAGATTTTTTTGTTTCTATACAATTTTGAAGATTGTCATAAAGCATAGATCCCTGACCTTACTTATTCTTATTATCAGATAAGTGGTTACTGGTTAAATCTGTTGTTAACTCAATAAAAGATCAGAGTAGGAATATATCAATGCACTCGAGTCTAGTGAATTTGGTGGTGAAGGTCATATTTCACACAGCCTAAATTTCATGACTACATCAAAAAGACAACACAGTAAGACACTTTGTCAAAATCTAGGTCAGCTGAAATCAAAGTTCACTTTACATCTTAATCTGTGCACATGGTTCAAATTTCATAGCTGTACATCAAAGGAGCAGAAAGTATGTCACATCAACAAAATCTAGGTCACCTGATATCAAAGTTCAATTTTACAACTAAAACTGTGCACATGGTCAAAATTTCATTGCTGTACATCAAAGGACAAGAAAGAAGGTCACTGTCCCCTTGGGCAAGGCAAAATTTTAGACCCAAGGGTTTAATTCAAAACAATCTTGATGCAGGTCCACCAAACAACATTTCAAGTCAAATATCTAAGCTGTAGCTTTCTCCCATTCAGAAAACATTTGTTTTATTTTCTGTTTTTATTATGTGTACATAATGAGAATCACTGCCCCCGGGCAGGGCCAATTTTGACACCAGGGGAAAAATTTGAACAACTTTAGTAGAGGACCTATAGATGATATTATATAGCAAACATCAAAGCTCTATGCCTTGTACCTTCAGACAAAAATATTTTTTATTTTTTTACTCTATGTACATAGTGAAAATCAATGACCCCTGGGGGTGGGGCCAATTTTGATCCCAGGGCTATAATTTGTACAATTTTGCTAGAGGTTCACTACATAATGTTTCATGCAAATGTCTTAACTCTAGTCTTTGTAAATTTAAAGAAGATGATTTTTTAAGATTTTACTATATACATATAAGGAAAACCTATGGCCCCCGGGGCGGGGCTAATTTTGACACTAGAGGCAAAATTTGAACAACTTTGGTAGAGTTCCTATAGATGAAATCATTTAACAAATATTAAAGCTCTAAGCCTTGTACCTTCAGACAATAAGATTTTTTACTATATATATATATTTAAAATCAATGACCCCTGGGGCGGGGGCAATTTTGACACCAGGGCTATAATTAAACAACAATCTTGCTAGAAGTTCACTTCACAATGTTTCATGCAAAATATCTAACCTCTAGCATTTGTCAATTGCTAGAAGAAATTTTTTTAAAGTTTTTACTATAAGTTTTTACTATATACATATAAGGAAAACCAATGACCCCCGGGCGGGGCCGATTTTGACCCCAGGGCTATAATTTGAACAATCTTGGTAAGGGTCTACCAGACAATGCCTTATGCAAAATATCTAAGCTCTAGGCCTTTTGGGTCTTTACAAGAAGGTATTTTAAGTTTTTACTATATGTACATATAGTGAAAATCAATGACCCCCGGGGCAGGCTGATTTTGACCCTAGGGCTATAATTTGAACAATCTTGGTAGAGGTCTACCAGACAATGCCTTATGCAAAATATCTAAGCTCTAGGCCTTTTGGGTCTTTACAAGAAGGTATTTTAAGTTTTTACTATATGTACATATGGTGAAAATCAATGACCCCCGGGGCCGGGCCAATTTTGACCCCAGGGCTATAATTTGAACAATCTTGGTAGAGGTCTACCAGACAATGCCTTATGCAAAATATCTAAGCTCTAGGCCTTTTCAGTCTTTACAAGAAGGTATTTTAAGTTTTTACTATATATGTACATATAGTGAAAATCAATGACCCCCGGGGTGGGGCAGATTTGACCCCAGGGCTATAATTTGAACAATCTTGGTAGAGGTCTACCAGACAATGCCTTATGCAAAATATCTAAGCTCTAGGCCTTTTGGGTCTTTACAAGAAGATTTTTTAAATTTATTCTTTTAATTCCTTTTGGTTGCCATGGCAACCAGATTTCTGCATGGAATGTAATTCTTTGAACAACTTTGGAACCCCTTCACCCAAGGATCAATCCTGCCAAGTTTGGTTGAAATTGGACTAGTGGTTTTTCACAAGAAGATTTTTTAAGTTCACTATATAATCTATATAACACACACACACACAAACAAACAAACACACACACACACACATACACACAGGTGAATCGCTATATGCCACCGCATCGCAGATGCTGCGGTGGCATAAAAAAGTAGAGAAACAAAAAAATCAACGTCTACCGGTCGCACCACCTCAGGCCAGTGATGCCCGTAACTCCAAACAATGCTATGTTCATTATAGTCTCATCTTAATGTAATTAATCAATATTTCACAGATTTAATAAATATTTAACAAAGTTTCACAATCAAATAATGCAATTTAATAAACAAACGCACCAACGAATAATTGGCTGTTAATTATTGAACGGCGATAATTATCATTATTATAAAAATCCTACTAAATAGTACGTGTAATTAAATTTTTGCAGTTTGATTCTGACTTTCAAATTAAAAGGTGTGAACATATGTTATAATTGATGTACACATTTCAAAACTATAAGCAACTCTTTTGAAAAGAAAATTGTAAACATGTCTGTCAACGTATGATGCTGCGCATCGTAATCGTAGCCTAATATTAACTGCAGGCAAAACACTTTTATTGGCTGCTCAAAAATCTAATTTTCATAATTTATTCACACAATTGCTGGTTCTTAATACTTATGTCTAATACTGTGCATTGTCCATTTTAATTGTTCCTAATTTGCACCAAATGTTCCTGTCACACTGTGTACTGACGATTTTTATTGCCCCTTGTATGCCTCTGTGCCGACAGACCTTTTGATCATGCACAATGTTGCCCTGATTGGTTAATCACCCTTGTCAAATATTCTGATGACGATTTTTTTTACGCTTCATCAGTGAATCGAATGACCTTAGGGGAAATTTAGTTCCACACCTGTCAAATTATACTGTAAATTACAGCATGTCATAAAATAGCAACACATTTTTTTTCAGTTACCAATAATTATTTTAAATATTAAGTATTAGATTTATGATTTTTTGTTTAACTGGATTAAATTTACGGTCGTAGAAATGCGTATCTGTGTGGGAAAGGGATTGTGTAAGTAGATAACGTGGAAACTGGATTAACCCGAGAATATGCTTAATTACAGGGGAATGGGCAACCTGTTGCTGTTGGTACCAGTTTTGACTGGGTGCCTTTAGAAATAACCTAACGGACGGTTTTGCTTTCATACGGTATTAGTCTGGCTGCCGATTTTCCTGCGCCATTCTCATTTTTAGCGTCAATGGCGGAAAATCGCGTCCTCAGCAGATCTCTGCATATTGGATTTAGTTGATATTTTACGCTGAAAAAAAGATACATGACCGGCGATGTACCCTATTCGGAAAGCTTGTCTAGCGAAAATTAAGTACAAAATAAAAGGATATATCGTCAATTTGAAGAAGTTTCTCATAGTACCCAAATTAAATTGATGGTTTATCCTTGTAAATTAAGCAATAATTGCCAAATCATGTGGTGGGATCATCAGCAAGCTTGAAAATCGGACAAATGATAATTAATGTCGCGGCGTCTTCTATTAATTAATTAAAACAATTCAGTTCCATATGATGGTTTCATAAATAATATATAATGTACACAAAAAGATTAATAAGTTCTTCATCGAGATATATTTCAGTTGTACCAGCGTGTACACCTATACCGGAAGTGGGTGTAACACGTCACAATCTCGGTCTCGTCTGTCTCGCGAGAATGACAGAACGCCAAAATGGCGGCGCCCATGAACTTATTTCTCAAGTAAAAAATAGTGTCTTGAAACACGAATTTCTCACTTATAGGGTTGATGTCAACAGAAAAACTGTCATGGTACCTCTTTTTAAATAGTGAATATTTATATTAGACAGACATCAATCCATCCATTCCTATTCCTTTAACGGTAGTAAACTTTGAGTGTTTGTCAAAATTTAGCTGACAAACAAGCAGTTATTGTTTGTATTTTCACTAGACAGATTATAGTCTTTGGAGAGCTTATACGTAGAAAACATGATAAATTTATTTTAATTGTTTATGTATAGGCCTTTAATTATTTATTTATAGGCCTGGAAGGAAGCAAGGAAAAATGGTGGACAGGAGGCATATCGATTCTGTCAGGACAATTTTCTCTCTAAAAGGTCATTAGAGGTAATATTACGATGAAATCAGTTTAATTTTCAACTTTTTGATAAAAGGTCTTATACCTAAATGTGTGACTTCATGCATTAGGCTTGGTTTTAATAGTAAAATAGGCTAATTAATTCATACAAGGAGACATTACACACATCATACTGGGAAACTTATTGTCATAATACAAAACTTTAGCTTTACTTTTAGATGAATATGATCTAAATCTTTTCCAGTTAAGCTTGATTTACCATTTTATTCACAAAACATAATGAAAAGATACTTGTAAACATCTAGATAGTGTCTGTATTTTTGTGATAGTGAACAAACTACAATCTGTACATACTATATAAGATGTCCAAAGTTTTATAACAATATTGTAATATTTGATGTTTAACTAGATGTTGTCCAGTATGAAACAGCAGTTTGTAGAGTTGTTATCAGACATTGGGTTTGTGAAGGAAGGTATATCTAGTAGAGATGTAGAAAGAGCGGCAAGAAATGGTGAAGATGGTGTGGTCACTCTGACAGGGCCTGAGGTTTCTTAAATTGTTAAAAATATGACTAGAATGGAGAATGGTGTTCATAAATTGCTGATTTTGTACTTACTTTTTCCCCTATGTTGTAATACAGCTGTCTTTGAGCTTAGACAATAAAGTAAAGGATTTAGACAGCAAACATTTATTGGTGTCTTTTTGTTCTCTAATGTAAATTGCTTAAATAAAATATGTTTTAATCTCTTGATATTAGATAAAAACTGTGCTCATTTTGATACTGAAAGAAAGTGATGCTGTTCATATAGAAATTGTATCAAGAATTAACATATTTGCTGAAAAATTTAAGTAATTTAAACCAAAGTGTTATGTTTACTACTTTGCAGGATCATGTGAAAATAAAAGAAGTAAAATTCTCATATATTATGTTTGATGTGAATTTTACATAGAAATACAAGGAGTATGTTATATATGTATATTACAGGCCAACTTGAACTCTAAGAATCTTAAGTTGATATCAGCCTTGTTAGTAGGAGCCTTATATCCAAATATTGTACAGGTTCTTACCCCAGAACAGCAGTATGCCCAAATGGGTGGTGGTATGTTTAGATTATCTCTACATCTTTTATTCAGGACTACTGAAGTGAAGTAAAGTAATAGCTGGATTCAGTATCTCTAACATTTCAACACAGCTAAAATAATGCTAGTGAATTAAAATTATTTCATATAAGGGGTTTATGTTGTATATATTGTTTATATTAAAGGTTGCTGGTCCAAACATTGTTTGCAAAATAACTTCAACTTTAATCTAAAAAAAGTCAATTTTTTCAAGGGAAATAATTTAGGAATGCTTGTTTCATTTATTTAATTTTGTTTATACTGAATAGTTTATACTGAATTTATTTAGTTAGATTGTGTAGGAATCTGTATAACACACTTTTGAAACTGTTGTTGGAACCAGCAAGTACTAAGCACTGCAGTGAGTGTGAAGTTCCTTGCTGAAGGAAACAACAGCTTGCCCCTTAACAAGTAATGAACCCACACCACAAGCCATCGTACAACTTGTTAAACTATTCGGCAATGCCATCATTTATTTAGCTTTTTTATCAGATTAAACTAATTCATTATGTTTAAGAACAAAAGGTTCAAGATAAAGATTTTATGTCTTGTATTTATTATTTTCAGGGGCAGTTGCTGTAGCACCAAAAGCTGAAGATATAAGATTTAAAACTAAACCTGATGGATATGTAAGTCATTCAGTCATTTATTCATACTTATGTATCTAAAGGTGGCGGGGATATAGAAATAGTCTCCGTCCGTCTGTCCTTCCAGGCTATTGAAGAGAAGTAGGGGGGCAAATAACTGTAAACAGAACAAAATAATTCATTTCGTAACAATAGAATAAGGGGCCATGGCCCTCTATTAAACAAAAGAAAATAACAAAAGAAATGGCCCCTTAGTCCATTTAAATGGCATGTCCGTTTGTCTCACATTTTTGTCCAGAGCATATCGCAAAAAGTATTTGAGGTATAAACTTGAAACTTATGGGTGGATAGATCATATTGAGGAGTGCAGTGCACAAAAATGATAACTACCCTGCATAATTTTTCAGTCATTGCCCTTTGTTATTTTTCAAACTTTTATGCTCTTTATTTTTGTCCAGAGCATAACTCAAAAAGCCTTTGAGATAGCAACATGAAACTTCATACATTGATATTTGTCACTCAGGAGGTGTGCAATTACACAATTTGAGTCCATTACATTACACAATGTTATTGCATTACAATTTTGCAACAATCTTCAGTCACAATGTAAGTATTGATTATCATCAGAGAAAATTAAAGTATTATTTTACATGTATTGTTCTTAATTCTTGCAGGTGAAAATACATCCATCATCTGTGAACTTTCAAGTGAGATTTTACGAGAGTCCATATTTGGTGTATCATGAGAAAGTAAAAACTACAAGGGTGAGAAATAAATTTTATTTAGAAACATTGAAATTAGATTTAACATTGCTGCAAAGGCCTAATGTAATATATCAATATAATATTCTAAAAAATGATTGTAATTGTGGAAAATCAATACTTTTTTTGTTCCAATTTTTATTTGTATTCACATTCACGTATAAATATTCATATTCAGCATCATGTATTATGATGTTTATTCATATTAGCTACCGCATGTATTCTTTACAGCTCTGAAATACCATTTCAATTACTTTTTTACACAGGAATAGATTAATATTGAGGGAAATTTAATGTCTTGTAACAAATTGTATTTTAGATATATATCAGGGACAGTACTATGGTATCTGTGTACCCCCTGTTGTTGTTTGGTGGTGGAGAGATAGGGGTGGATCTATCACGGGGGAACTTTATACTTTCTGTGGATGATGGCTGGATCAAGTTTATGGCTCAATCTCATCAGGTAAGCTGTTATAATGGTTGAATGTCTCAAGTTTATGGCACAACCTCTAAAACAATCAAGTTAGTTAATATTTATTATTATTTTGTAAATAACAATATACAGTTATTTCATATGTAATTTGGGAACAGTCAAACTATTGGACCAAGGAGGGGGTAGTGTTTTGAACTGTTGCCCAAGGCCGTAGGCCGAGGGCAACAGTTCAAAACACTATCCCCGACACCGAGGGACAACTGTTTGACTGTTCCCAAATCACATATGAAATAACTGTTTTATTACCTGACCAATTACTGTTTTAACAGTACTTGCAGAAGAAAAAAGGAACATGCACATATGTTCATAATTAACTTAATACTTTAACTATGTCACGTCACGTCTGGTTCATGATCAACATCGATGGAAGCTTCAAGTGGGATTCCTCTATGAAGTCAATGACGTAAGAACACTCGAGGGAAACAATCGAAACTATTGACCGGTCACCTGTTCGCAAGCGTTGACGTTTTTAGAATTTCAGAAAAAAGTATAAAATACCAAATTACATTTATATAAGGTATCAGGTAATAAAATAGACTCTTAAGTGATACTGAGGTGATACGTTTATGACCCTGGCATGTAGATATTGAGCTGTTTGTCTGTCTAGGTTAGGATAGGTACTTTTTCAAATGATTCTGTCAACAAACAGTTTGGATTTTACTTGAGACTGGCAGATCTAAAAGTCATAAGTTCCTGACTTTTAATTTGTCAAAGGGAAATTGAGGTGTTCTGTTACAAAAGACTAGTGCAAAATGATGAAGTAATTTTATATATGAAGAGACTAGTGTATTTATATAACTTTCACAACATTTCCTCATATATTTTCAGATAGCTGAGTTAGTGAGAGAGTTAAGACTGGAACTGGATCATTTGTTAGAAGATAAAATTAAGACCCCACATATGGACCTGTGTACCTGCCCCAGGGGCAGTAAAATTATAGACACTATAGTTAAACTTATTACCACCCAATAGGTGCTAAATAAAATAAATATATAATGGTGAAAAGTCTTCCAGGAGTTTGTTTTGATATTCAAAAGAATTGTATACAGCTTAAAGCAGTGTGCCTAAAGATTCCTATCAATTTCTAGGAAAAGTAAGGATTTGTTCTTAGTAGAAGAATTTTTGTGAAGCCTGATAATAAGGGGGATTTAGGTAAGTTTAAGGCATTTACTACTGTAAAAGCAGATGTATTCACTAGGCCAAAATGAAAGATTTGCAAAATTAGCAGCATGCTTCATAAGTCATGGGGTAGAAATATTATGATAAAAATCTTTTTAACATAAAATCTGCAATGTACATGTATTATTTGAGTTGTGAAACATGGCGAACTGGTTAAGGTTATTAACTAAAACCACTTGACTATCACCTCTGTTAGATTGAATCCTGCCAGAGACTTTTTAGCTCACCTGTCACACAGTGACAGGGTGAGCTTTTGTGATCGCTTTTCGTCCGGCGTCTGTCCGTCCGCCCGTCGTCCGTCCTTAACTTTTACTTTAAATGACATCTCCTCATAAACCACTAAGCCACTTTCATCCAAACTTCACAGGAATGTTCCTTTGGTGGTCACCTTTAAAACTTGTCCAAAGAATTTAATTCCATACAGAACTCTGATTGCCATGGCAACCGAAAGAAAAAACTTTAAATATCTTCTTTTAAGAAACCCAAAGAGCTAGAGCTTAGATATTTGGCATGTAACATCTTCTAGTGAGTGTCTACCAAGTTTGTTCAAATAAAAGTCCTGGGGTCAAAATTGGCCCAGCCCCAGGGGGTCATTGATTTTATTTATATGAATAGCAAAACCTTAAAAAAATTTCTTTCAAACACCCCAAATAGCTAGAGTTTAGATATTAAGCATGAAACATCTTCTAGTGAGTGTCTTCAAAGTTTGTTCAAATAAGAGCCCTGGGGTCAAAACTGGCCCCGCCCTAAGGGTGTCATTGCTTTTAACTATATGTGTATAGTTAAAACTTAAAAAATCTTTTTTGAAAAAACTTAACGAGCTAGTCCTTAGATGTTTAGCATGAAACATCTTCTAATGGGCGTCTACCAAGTTTGTTCAAATAAAAGCCCTGGGGGTTTAAACTGGCCCCGCTCTTGGGCCTATATACAGGTGAGCGACTTCAGGGCCCTCTTGTTTACATATACTGAATTAATCCACGTGCAAATTCCCAGGTGCACAACAACATATGCTGACTAACATTCCTGTAAAGTGTCATGCCCCTTGGTCAAACACTTTTTTAGTTACATGCAACACAACATGAGAATGGACGGACGAGGGTAAATTTAACTCCCCCCCCAGTTGTGGCCCAAAAAGTGAAGTATTATTATGACCTTTTTAGTTAGATTTTCATTTATGTATATTGACTTCAAAACTAATAATCTATTGACACAGGCCGAGTTTCACAATCTTTCGTACATTTCCAAAATGCAGTCATTTT